AGGCTGGTCGCTAGTCACGGTGGTCTTTAGTTACAGGTTTTACTGTAGCACCAGGCTGGCGCTAGTCACGGTGGTCTTTAGTTACAGGTTTTACTGTAGTACCAGGCTGGTGGCTAGTCACGGTGGTCTTTAGTTACAGGTTTTACTGTGGTTTTCATTGGTCTGTCATAGCACCCGCGCGCGCCCGTGCTCATCGCATAATGTGTCGCCCACGAAAGGTTCAAAAGTGTTCCCAAATGGGGACTGCGTGCGGATTACTCCTTATGTGTCCGCACTTGTACATGTATGTAGGCTGTTATCTATCGATTTGTTTTGGCCCAAGTTTGGGCCTGGTCGCACATGCACCTGGGAGATACGGAATTGCTGGTGGAGAATACCATTGCAATTGACGGAAAGTCGAACTGCCGCTTCAGCGGAAACTCAAATCCGCAACCTACAAACCTAGGAGACCGGGTACCCGAGTACCCTTGCTTCTGCGGTTCCTGTTCCTGTTCATACGTTCTGCTGCATATGGTTGGACTCACCAAGAACAATTTGTATGTGTGCAATATACATGTATGTATGCCATACAACGCATGGACGATATTTTCCTTGTCCACGTGAGTTTAGTGCACAGTATGCACCACGGTCCACTTTGCTCTCGTAGCCCGCTACACGTACTGTACAAGCAGACATTTTCGGTGGTGTTATATTTTGGTACTTCGGTGCTGACAATTTTTACCTAAAATAAAACGCAATGAAAATTTCGGTACCGGTAAACTTATTATTAGTATTATTATTATGATACGCATTCCCACGGCAGCGTCAACCAAGCGGTTATGCTTGATCCACAGGTTCGCTTATGCTGGACATTGAAACAGAGCAGATGTAGATATCTCCTAGAGAATGGGGCTCTACCGGTACACTTACCTGAGAAAAAGGGTTTGGCAAATACTACAATGTATACTGGTAGATTACTTGTAGGCCTAATGTATACCCAGTGGACTTGGGCACTAGAATCCAGTCTTTACAAGTACAGTGAATCTCGGCCTGCATAATGTACTTCAAAGTAGTAATTGAGCAGTAGGCAAGCATAAGAAAAAAAAGAATAGGCATTCATTAGTTTGAGTGAAGGGTGCAACCGGAAAAAGAAAGAAAAGGCGAGCATGAATGATTACGAAAAATACACTGTCACTCACTGGCTGTCTTTATACATAAATCAAATTATTTTACAGCACTGACTCACAAGCTGGGCTGTATCCAGTGTACGTGTGTGTGTCAGTGACTGTATGTATGTGTATGCATACAGCACGGGCACTGTCAGTGTGAGGTATTCCTGCAATCCTGGTGGAGCTAGCTTTGTGCAATCACTGGCAATGGCATCAGCAGATTACAGGAGCGGAACCCACGACATTAATCATTCACACTGACACTGACAGTGCTGAATACAGCATACAGTCACTGACACCCACCCACACACATATACACTGGATACAGCCCAGCTTGTGAGTCAGTGCTGTAAAACGAGAGAGCTTTGAAGCTCAGGGCCCTGCGCTATGCTTGTTGCCTAGCTCATCGTGCATGTTGTTAGAACTGATGAAAATGCTTTTTCCTTTGATTAGCTACATCATTGTATTGCAAAAACGTTTCAATGAGATACTGAAGTAACGCCTTCTGCATAGCTGACCCTGCCGATCACGGGCGTTCTGAAGTGGACGGGATGTCTGTCCTGACGTTTCCTGGGACCGGCGCTGACTCTGCCGATCACGGGCGTTCTTCTTCTTATCATTACTATACTGACGGCAACTAACATCCATTCTGATTGCATTTACTCGTCTCCCTACTTCGTATTTCTTTCCAGAAAATCTCCCCATACAGCAGGGAGTCGTTTACATATTATGACTCCCTGCTATACATCTACATGACTGTATATACGTTATAATTATTATGGTATCGGCGTACATGCGATTCCCGGGCTGGTCGACAGGCGGCCCAGCCAGCCTGCTAGTGGGATCTCGGCCTCGCACACAAATCCACACAAAATGTTACTGCACTGAATGCATTCCCCCGATACACTTCGCATATATACTCATTCCCTTCATGGTACCGTACTCTTGATGGTACGGGACAGGTACAGGATAGCGCCAGACATGTCGATGGCACAAACAAACAAAAATATTGTGGCCAGCTGTCTTTGCTGGTACGGTACAGTACAGGACAGATACGGGATAGCGCCAGGCGTGACACAAACAAACAAACACACAAACAAACACCAAATTAAAGCTGTGTGGACCCTGGCTAGCGCCAGACGTTACTGAAGTAACGTCTTCTGCATAGCTACGGGAATAATTTAATTCATGTATAAAGACAGCGAGTGAATGACAGTGTATTTTTAAAAGCCATGCAGGCTGACTGACTTCAAGTTGAAGTCTTTAGTTTGGACTGACTGACAGGTGCAGAAAGGCCATCATTCAGGCTGCACTACACTGGCTCCTTTCTTGATGACAGCTGGCTCTAGTTTTGGCAGCTGATGGCACAAACTATTTTTGCTTTGAAGTGCTGCGCTGAGCATCTACCACTAGCACTGTAGCTCCACGTGGCATTAGCACATTCTTCAGAAGAAAACTCTTGTCAGAAGTATTACACAACTTCTGTCACAACTCTTCTCCCAAAACTAGTGGCTCTCACCCTAGAAATACAAGTGTGTGTGTGGGGGGGGGGGGGGCATTTTTCTTCTTTCTTTTTTTTAGTAGTAAACTAACTAATTACTTCCTTGCTGCATAGCGCTGTGATCACATGTACCGGTATACATGTATGCACACCTTACTATTACTAGTACTACTAGGGCCAGGGGTGATCCTGGCTAGAATGTAATGGAGCATGGAGAGTTGAGCACCCCACATGGTGTGTGTAGATCTACTGCACAACTACAGTCCATTCACTGATTCAGAAAAAGATGATAATATTATCCTAGCTTTTGGCCATAAACGGGTCAAATTTGAGTTTTCGTCACAATTCTTTTGGCAATCCCCATGGAATGCTCTTCCAATTGTGTTTTTGAAGTCCATTTCTCCAAAGAGCAAGCCATAACAAGAATAGGATTTCGGCCAGGTTTTGCCCCCGAAGCACTGAATTGGGGAAAAACCATGAAAATCCAGGCCGTGCACTCCACTTGCATAACAGTACATTTGCGGTTCGAACCCCAGTTGAGGCACCTTTTTTGGCCCCTTTTTCAAGTTTCGAATCTCGCGGCACTGCACAGTGTACCACAAAATCGCCAAACCCAGGAGCTCTCCAGAGCCAGCGGTCATCTTTTTCTGAATGGACTGTAGTGTTTATAATAGTAGTTGTTGGTTGACAGCATGTTACTATCTTACTGACCACCATGACGGCACTGTGTTTCAAAACACTAACCTACAACCATCTAGGCATTGGCGGATTCTGCTTGAAAAGGTGGCAGATTCTGCTCGAAAAGCAGTGAAATTGGCAGAACCATACAAACCTTATGGCGGGCAATTCCTCGAATTCTGCTCCATTTCTTTATCCACATACCAAACATGCATGAAACTTACCAGAAAAAGTACTGAATTCTGCCAATTTCAAAGTTCTGCCGGCATAATCCGCCGGTGCCTACAACCATCCACTGTTGGCAGAGCCCGGGTCTTGCGACCATCCAAACGTACTTCAGTATGGCCATGGGTGTTGTGTTAGCCCTGGTTACTTGTGCAGTGAAACCTGTCTAAGACGACCGCTCTAGCTAGTCTAGGGGCCTTCAAAACGTGGTCTTTGTAACCAGGTGGCCTCCTTATCCAGGGTTATTTGACTGAGAATAGCATGCCTTGTTCCTGGTTGTAGAATGTAGTGGTCCTCTTGGACAGGTGCTTGTCTTATCAGAGTCAGTGGTCACCTTGACGCTGTTTACTGTACTTGTAGCAATCAGCACCACAACACTGAACACACACACACTTGTCCCAACACAAGTGTGAAGTGACCTTACTCCTTACGACCTTAGGTCAGGAGCCATGCTGTGCACAGATATACATCTACCATCAAGAGTTTAACCCTTTAGGGCCCATAATTATTTCAAGAAATGCACTGCATACGCGAGCCCGGGTACTTATCTGGTCGTAACTTTGGTGTCCTTTGGCCGATTTTGGTGATCTTAGGCTTTCTGCAAAGCTCTTGGCCAGAGGAACACAGCGATAGCCAGCAATACATCACTCGATCCACAGAACCAGCGCCGCAGCGCGATACGGCTCTCCAAAGCCAGCATTGCGAGCGCCCAACTCAAATTCTCTGCCATTTCCACAAATTGCATCGCAGATCGCTCAAATTTTTTTACTGGAGAGCTGAGAAACATGCCTTTGCGATGACGTGAACTATCTGTAGCTGCGTGGGCCGCGAGTCAGGGAAAACCCCTAAAAACGAGTTCAAAATGCACGCGCTCGAGTTGACTCTGCTGAGCGAATTTAGTTCGAGTCTCGTATCTCCGCTCTCCGAACTCGGATCGCTTTCGGGTTTTTTCGAGCCGATAGCTGAGACAATTCTAATGTCGATAGCCCTTTCGATTGTCCGATTTGGTCAAGGGACGGCCGAGTTACGCCAGGTTGCGCTTTGAAAAGTATGCACTGTACACTGGTACGGATATATCCGTACTATGGGCCTCAAAGGGTTAATGGGGCTGTCGACATGAAGTCAGTATGCATAATTATGGGCTAGAGTCATGAACTAACTACTACTAGTAGTAGTACTACAAAATTAATTACAATCATGTAGATCTTCATGACTGTAGTATTGTGTTTCAATGGGATTCAGATGTAGCTGCCTATTCTACGTGTACTGGTCTGTACTTGTAGTCTACTGTCTAGTCTGCTGTCTAGTCCCACGTGACTCACAGTAAAAAAAACATGAACACTACTAGCGCACGGCATGCATTCACTGATTCAGCGTCAGGTGTGGTGCAGTGATCACTTGGGAAGTTGGGGTGATCGTTTTGACTCTGATCCATAAAAATTAATGCTAGCTAGGCGCGGAATGCCGATGCGCTCCACTCGTCAGCTCTACTCAGCCTAGCCTACTTTCCTGCGTGTCGTCGAGACTGTCGAGTGTCGACAGCATTTCACTGGGCGAGAAGCGCGACACCATGCCAAGGGCAGCGGTCGTGACGGAGATGAATGACGACTGGAACGTCGTTGCCACTGTGAGCGCAACTGCTCGTCTTTAGTGCAAACTTTTTATGACGGGAATACCACAGCTGGATGGGTTCAACACCAAGCCAGGAGCAAGCGCATCTCTACCCGGACCCTGCTGCTCGCGTCAGAGTCACACGCGGCGCTGCGAAACAGCAGTTTCTCGCAGCCCTGACCCTGCCTGCTGTCCAACGTCCTCCGCAGCGCCTACAGCAGCTGGAAATACACGATTCTAGCAACTCGGGCAACTTTGCTCGGCAGATCGGCGGTAAGAGCAGTACGCCAAAAGAGTCCTTCTCTACCATTGGTGCTGGTGCGGCTACTGACCCAGACGACCAGCCATCTGATTTCACAGGTAAACATTGATGTTGTTACCCCTGGCACGCTGTGGATGTCCCCCGCGGGTCGTCAATGTGGAATATTGTCTTCGTACATGTGGGGTCAAATTGTTTTGCTTTATTTCAATATTGAAATTGTGCGTATCGCCCCCGCAAATTGAAATGGACTCGTGGTCTGTTGGGCTGCGGATTTCGCTCGACGGCTCCAAGTTTGCTTTTGGTGTTTCGTTGACCGTATTGGTGTGAGCTTCGCCGAGGATCCTATCGATCGTTTCTAGTCTCTTTTCTGCCTCGGTTGTGCTGTCGGTCATTGGGGAATGTTTGCCTGTTGAATGTTCCCGGTTTTGCTAACGATCCATTCCTGAGCTGTTTGAGATCGCTACAATACTTGTGCTGGGCTTGAGGTTTGTGCGTGACTGATTGTGGATGAATGTGGGGGTACATGTGATTGTACTCGGTTTTATCGTGCGTTTCTGCGCGTTGGACTTGTTCGAGCATCGTCTGACTTCCGCTCTTCCTGTGTCGTGGCCTCCGTTACATTGGTCGTCGCTAGCGTTGGCTCGCCACAGACAAGCGGTTCCTTATCGTCTCAACGAATTCGCCTCGTTCAAACTGGCAGTAAACATAAGCTATCAGCCGTCGACACGACGATTGTGGTTGAATCTTTAGTTGATCGTGTCGACCGTTTTCTTATTTTATTTTTTATTTTCAAGGTGTGATGTTTATTTCTTGTGGTCACAGACCCGTGAATGCGCACTCAGCTGTTGCGAGTTTTCTGTTCTGTTCTGGGTGATCGCTGTGTTTGCAGCTGTGTGCGGGCGAAATAGCATGATTGTGTAAATCGGGCGTTTGTCTTGTTGTCTGTTGAAGTGAAGCGCCCGCTAGTCTGCTAGTCTCTCGCTAGGCATGCAGTAGTTTTCCGTGTGAGTAGAATGGTACTACAATTATTTGGTAACTATTGGAGTTATCGCCAGTGTTTACTACTAGTTGTATGGCAGTGAATCGAGTCAAGTGAAGACTACCATGTGAATGCACTACTCTTCCGCATGTGTGACATTATTATTATCTGTCATAAGTTCATAGCCATTGATGGTTATTGCGAAATCCTTGTCTCCCAGAGTCCCAGTGAATGGTGTGGGTGCAGTTGTTATTCGTTTGGATTGTTGGAATGGTGGCCCATTCTTCAACTACAGTACGTTGTGGTGTCTTGTATTCTGGAATCTGGATCATAGACATAGTGACTTTGCTGTTCTGGGCCAATACTGAGTCACGACCTCGTAAATCCTGTCCAATATTGGCAATAATATGTCATGACCTGGTAAATCTTGTACATGATTGTACTGTATCACACTTTGTAGCTACAATGGTTACACTCTAGTGTTTGTACATGTAGGGCAGGCTGTAAAGGATTGTACCCTGGGCATGATGCTCTGTAAGGCGCTGGGCTCTCCAAAGGTCCAACGGTGATACTTTGGTTGTATGAGAATATTAGTGTGGCATTGTGTGACATTTTGCAGCGTACGCGTGAATTTTTATGGAAATAATAGCTGTTGTCATACTCATGTATAGGTTCTGATTTGAAACTTGAGAGGCAATGGGTTTACAGTGCCTCACCAGACTTAGCATTAGCTGGTTTAGTGGTACATAACGTGATGTGTAGTTGTGGTAGTTGCCATGGAACCCTCGTCTTATCGTCACTCGCGCATATTACAAATAGAGAGGTTCTGCTCTACGTGGAACGCAGAGAAATCACCTATTTGTAGAGAACAGGTGTCTGGGTTAGAGTCTATAGGTTCCCGTGTTTTGGGTTCAGATTTCTACGCAGAGAAGTTCTGTACGTTGCGGCACACGTAAAGAAAATGCGTGCAGATCTTCTGTGTATCATTCAAACTTCCGAGAAAGCTGTCACATTTTACGAGAAATTCCTAGCACGCAATGCAAATTCTTTGCGTGAGCGTAGAGCAGAACAGGTTTCTGATACGTTCCGGGGACGCGAAGATTGATCACGGAATTCTTCGCGCAGCGTTCCTGTAACAGAAAGCGGAAGATCTCTCTTGCCAAGGCAGCACAATGCCATATTTGGGAATAAGCCCATTGCACAATGACGTAATTATTTGTACCATGAACACCCCACACATGTACACAGCCACCTGGGCATGGTCGTCTGGGGTGTTGAACAGTGCATTGCTGATTCAATGCTGATCCCAATGTACTCACATGCATTACTCATACCTTCCATATTTGGCAATGCGCAATAGGCATGTAGCCGGGACTTAACACATGTATCTGGTCACATGTAAGGTGTCTCTGAAAAGCACCGAAGCGAGCGTGGAAACCTCCAGAAATTCTGCGCGAGTGTTTTGCTACGAGCCCTGCCTTGAATACAGCTGGTGTTCGTGACAGACTGAGACGTGTCTGCTATGGTAGGCTGTGCTGGGGTTCCTTCCTCGGCTGTTTCCTTCACGCAGTGCACGTAAAATAATATTCTTCATTAGCGTAAACTAAAATGCCTGCCTGAATCTTGGGCGTTGCTGCCATCGAGTTTGCAGGATTTATTTCGTATCTTCAAGTCAAGATTCAAGATTTTCATTGATCATTTCCTATAGGGCGGTTTCACATCTGTCACGGGACCATACAGGACAGTCATGGTGCTTCCAACTCCACTAAATTCCTGCATCTATGGGTCACATAAAGTCGGCCGTGTTGGTTCTACTGTCCACATGACAGACCGTAATTCCGCGCATATAAGCCCACGGGCCTATAGCCGGATATAAGCCCACCTCCGTATATAAGCCCATGGGCTAATAAACAAACACAAAATTAATGCAACTCGCGTGTCAACAAGAATTTTTCACAATGTGGACTCTTCCTACCATGGTACAGCAGGTCAGTGCAGTTTACCAGTAGAGTATTGTAGGCCCACTATGAGCACGGACTTGTACTTTTTCGTGAACCTTCAAAATTCGAATATTGGCCCATGGGCTAAGAAACGAACATGTTTTACTGGATATTTTATCCCAAAACTGCATTATTTCACATATGAGCCCATGGGCTTATATGCGCGGAACTACGGTAATCACTTTCTGCACAAATTAAGTTGCATCACAAGATATTTGAAAGCGCTTTATTGCTGGACAGCTTGTGTAGTTCTGGCAATACAGATTTGCAGTTGTGTGAAAGGCTTGTACTGTTTGCCCATTGATGGTGTGATGAAATTGCATACCTGCGAAATGTAACTGCATAAGTCCAGTACGGGTAATGAGATGTGCTAGTGATTTGTTAAGGGTCTGAGTGATAAGAGGTTGTTCCTGTGTGTGTGGTTATGTAAGGATGCTGCAGTGTTGGCACTTTCTTGCTAAGTGATCCGTGTCGTTTGATCTGATGTGATTGTCCCCTATCCGTCCCACTCCTAATTCAGGGTTATGTGTGCTCTTGGGAAGTAACGTTGGGGCATTGTGCGTGTGTGTGTATGTGTGTGTGTGTTTTGGTGGGTTGGATTGTCCGTACCACAGTGCATGCTGCACAGACGATGCCACCTGGAATAATAATAATACTAAAACTGTAATAAAATCTGCCTGTGAAGTTAATGGAACAGTTGCACTTAGCAACCAGCTGGCACTATATTGTTGTAGTTGTAGCGGTTTTATCAGTTCAAGTGCCTACACAGTACACTCTCTGTCCACACCTTCTTCATGCGCTCTCTTTATCTTCTCTACTCTACTCCGGTGCGGCCCTGGTACTCATGCCCACCAGCGATGCCCAGACCATTATGGGCGGCAAAGTTTGGTTTTATCCCACCCACTCCACCCACTCCACCATCTATCTCCCTTGGAGCTATAGTCCATTTCAAAAATATAGACGCATGGTGAAAAGAATTCGGGTGGACACACCCATTCCCATAGCGCTGCACATCACATCCGAACCAGTTCCGTTATTTTTACAACGTTTCGGTAATAACTGACGATGGCCAAGTGCCGAAACGTTGTAAAAATAACGGAACTGGTTCGGATGTGATGTGCAGCGCTATGGGAATGGGTGTGTCCACCCGAATTCTTTTCACAGATGAAGCTGCAGGAAGCCTCAGCCCTTCTTCAAAAATAGACGCATGGTATTTTTGAAATATTTCAAATTTGGCTGGAGCTTTTCTAGATTTCTTTTCAGAATATTGCTCAGGTCCTTCCCCCAATGGACCCATTGCGTAATGACGTCATTTGTACCGTAAACACCCTTCACAGCCAAATATGGAATGCATGAGTAATGGTTGTGAGCATGCTGGGATCAGGAGTGCACTGTTCGACACCCCAGAAGACCCCCCCCCCCCCCCCCCCCCCAGGTGGCTGTGAAGGGTGTTTATGGTACAAATTACGTCATTACGCAATGGGTCTATTACAACGTGATTACAGATGTTATAATAGATGCTAGCCTAACGTTTTGTTTTTTTAAATCATGACCCTGTGCTATGTAAGCAAAAAGAAAATGTTGTAGCACTCACCCTTTTCAAATGATGCGCACTCACCAGTTTTGTCCACACGCACTCACAGCTGCCACATTCATCTACTGCTACCATTCTCAGGTCCACTGCATAATTTCACACTGTACACGCGTTATCATGAGGTCCCGAGTTCAAGACCCGCGCTGGTAGCAGGGAGCGTGTAAAAAGACTTTTTACGTGTGCTGAACTGCGCCGACACCCACGGTCAACTGGGTACTCACAGCTCGGAGTGAGAATAACAAGGATGCAGTTTACAGGGTTATGGGCCGTTACACGCCCGATTGGTTGAGAGACTAACCTCCTCTCCCCTGACTCACTTGTGAGGTCTGCATTCGCCACTAAGGTTTATAGGCATAGTGGTGGCCTGCGGATGCGAAGGCTAGTTTGTGTGTTTCTGAACATTCAAGCGATGCCGACGCGGATCCCGCGAATATTATTTATTTATTTTATTACACGCGTTATGCATAACCGCTAGCTGTGCTGCATTCTCACGCTTCTTTTCATATTCTAGCTATATAACTGGTTGTTTTAGTGATTCTTACTATGTGACGATGTTCCACTGATGATAGTCACGAGAAAACGTTCTGGAATTGTTTCATTTTAATTGTTTTATACAATGTGGTTATGAGTGCACAACTGATCTTTGTCATTGCTCTTTTACTTTAATTGTTTAGTTGTTGTAGCCCAGGGACCATTGGGAGCATGGTGAGGATGTGTGGATACTCGAATGCCTGGTAAATGTATCCATATCCAACACCCTGTCTGTTCTCTTTCGTGTGTGTCCCTGTGTTGCCTACAGCAGCAGCAGCATCAGCAGCGACAGCAGTAGTCTGTTCAGCTGGTGTGTCGTCCTCCCCACCACCGCCAGCAGCAGCCATGTCATCTATGGCAGTGCCCGCACCGTCCCTGCGTGACTCCACGGTGGAGCTAGCCGCGGCGCCGGACAGTCCCAAATCCATCACCGCCGGTCACACTTCCGCCGTTCCGGCATCGTTGTCGTCCACAACTCATGGCTCTAATCCGAGCGCTGTTGCTACCATTCATGCTGACCTACACTATCAACACCACGCTCACCTCGCGATGGGATCCGTCAGCGTGCCCGCCGCCTCCAACATCAGCCGCACGGAGAAGTCGATCTTGAAGCTCGATCAGGGTGGTGCAGCCCTGGCTGGTCGGGCTGCATCTCCCTCCGCTCTCCGGTATGCGACTGACGTTGCACAGGGTACTGCACGATCAGGCACAGCTGTGTCGCATGGTGCTATTGCAGAGCCTGTGCAGTCCAGGCCTACTCCAGCTAGTCGTCAGCACTTCTGCAAGGCATGCAACCAGATCATCCTGGAAGAGGTAGTCTATAATAGTGTTTTGTTGTATTTTAGAAATCGATGGACATCCTGTGTGCAGGTGCGTAGCCCGCATGGAGCATGAGGGACATGTGCATCTCCCCCCCCCCCCCCCCCCCCCGCAAACATTTCGATTTAGGTTCAGCATGTACAAAATGACCATGAACAGCCATCAGCAACAGCCATCCTACAAATATACGGCCGTGCCCCCCCCCCCCCGAGGGGAACCAGCTACGTCTCTGTGTGTGTGTATGTGCCTCACTTACTTACTCTCTCTCACTCTCACTTGCTCTCACTTGCTCTCTTCCCTATGCGTAGAACATCATTGTGATACATCAGACAATGCCATCGGTCGGCGCCATTGTCCGCACCAGTGCCAGCGCATCAAACGTCATCACCGGTGTTGATGGCAGCATGGGAAGCGATGCCAGTGCCGACGGTAGCAACTCCATGACAGCTGCCACTGGCAGCACAACAGCAGCGGTGGACGGCAGTGCCGCGAGACAACCAATAGCCTGCTACCATCGTCGCTGCACGCTCTGCAGTGTGTGCCAGATCGACGTGTATCGGCAGCGCTGTGACGAGGGCAAGCGCGTGTACCAGCGCGGCTCGAAGCTCTACTGCTCGCAGGATTACACCAGGTAAGGCTGGTTGTCGTCTGCCTTTTGTGTGCACGCGTGTGTAGCTGACTTTGTCTGGCTTGTGTACACACACGTGTGTAACTGACTTTGTCTGGCATACTGTTTTGCTATTTGCAGCGCCGTATGCCAGCGTAGTGTACGGCAAGCGTACGCAGCATGGAAATGTGGTGTATGTGTGGACTATCCATGCTTTGAGTTTTGTGCGGTGATGTGTACGGGTAGAGCGCCAGCGCATCGGCCACTGGGATCGCATCTCCCTTTCCACCATGTCATTTTCACGTTCTGTGTGTGTTTGACTTTGTGCGCGCGCGCGTGTGTGTGTATGTGCCTTTGCGTATCATATTGCGTCCGCGTGTGCAGGCTCTTCCTGGAGGCATTGACGTGCGCTGGCTGTGGGCAGACATTGGGCTCCACCGACTTGGTGTGCGACCTGCCCATGAGCAACGATGACGACAGTTTGGCAATCTTCCACCACCACTGTGTCAAGTGCACCGCCTGTCAACAGCCTATAGCCACCGGTGCCCAGTATCGTATCTACAAACGGCGACTCTACTGTCCGGCTGACTACGACCGTGCCGTCAACGCCCCATCGTCGTCGCAGCGTGGTGTGCGGGGAAGCGGCAGTGCAACGCTCTCGTCGTCGTCCGCATCGTCCCCGCGACCTGGCAGCCTGTCCGGCTCACCGATGAAGCGAGGTAAGGGGCGTAGCTGATCCCCTTTTAGGGGGGGGGGGGGGGTGGGTGCACGATCCCGCATATGTGTAGGATGGCTGGTGCATGTCATTCATAGTCATTATGTGCATGCTGAATCCAAGTCAAAAAATTAGGGGGCTGCACGTGCCCCCTGTGCCGCATGCGGGCTACGCGCCTGCAGGTATGTCACCACCTGCAACTGTCCTCTAGCTAGTCGTGTGGTGTAGACCGGAGTTTTCCTGAGTACCAATTCATTGTCCAAGCTTCTTTTTCCTTCATCACTCATAGGTAGGGTTGCGTTTGACGTAAAGAAATAAAAAATATAAATCACACTGGTAGGGCAAATGCCTCTTAACATGATGGTCCTGCCGTGGAGTAACCTGTCCAACTCTGCGGTGTGTATTTTATAGTGCACTCGCTATCCTGCCGCTTTACTCATTGTTATCTCTCTGCCTCACTCTCTGTCTTGCTGTCTCTCTCTGTCTCTCTGTCTCTCTCTCTCTCTCTCTCTCTCTCTCTCTCTCTCTCTCTCTCTCTCTCTCTCTCTCTCTCCTCTCTCTCTCTCTCTCCCACACACCCACCCACCCACCCACAGATATACATGGCGGTGGTCGTGGCCGGTTTGGTCGCGGCGGGGCAGGCACCACCGGCACTGGGCGAGGAAGGGGCGGCCGAGGTGGCAATCGTGCGTCCGCCCCCGTCGTCATGCCCGCCCTGGACAGCCATGCACTGGCCGTGAAGCGTGAGCACGTACGCGCAAGCAGTCCGGCGGCCATGGGCGGCAGCGGTAAGGAAGAGCAGCTTGCGATCAGTGCGTCCCTGTACGGCGGTGGAATCTTGTCGAGTCGCAATAGTGCAGCGGCGGCAGCAGCAGCAGCAGCCTCCGCCGCAACCACATTGGACCTGTCTTTGTCGTCGTCACCTCCGCACGAGTCCCACCATCAGTCTGCGGGCATGATGGCCGGCAGAGACGTGGGTGCTGGACAAGACGGCGCATACAACGTGGCAGAGCGGCGGCCTAGGGCTACACTGTCCGATGCACAGCGCCAAGTGCTTCAGGATTTCTTTGAAGAAGAGATGTTCCCGGACAAAGAGGTACGTACGCATTTTAATTTGTAACTTGAAAGTGTGACTTGTGTGTGTTCGAATGTTTGGGGTTTGTGGGGTTGTATGCTTTTACTCTCCTCTCTTGCATCTTTCCTGTTTGCATTTGGCGCCATCAGCTTCTCTGCTAATATGGCCCTTTGGGGGGGGGGGGGGGGGTTGTGATGGTTGCTGTCTGTGTTCTGTAGTCTTTTGCACTTTTTCAAGCCAGCATGCCGCAGTGTGTGGTTGAGCTTCACGTATTTTCATGCATCTGCTCGCTCACGTTAGGGCATAAATGTGGATCTCTTGTAAGACGTACCCCCCCCCCCCCCATGAACGGCAGGAAAGTGCCCCCCCCCCCCTCCCCCTGGTCGAGGTACTGCAGTTCGTATCCTAACCTACTTCGGTATGGATGACTACACCCCTGCTTTGGGAAATGTCCGTACTAAACCAGAGCACCTTGTATCAGAGTGCATGCACATGCTAAGTGAGTTCCACTCTATGCCCGCTGCTTTGCTGTCTGATTTTCTCCTGTAGGCACAGAATCGCCTGAGCACCGACCTAGGATTGACTGTGCTGCAAGTTCACAACTGGTTTCAGAACAAACGGCAGAAGGTTAGAGATTATCTCGTGGAATGTAATGATAACATTAAACTAGGGGTGACAGTTGGCACTGAGATCCCGAGTTCGAGTACTCTGATTTTCTCCGATCGAATATTCGAGTATTCGAGTATTCTTGATATCCTAAAAATCGTACACCAACCGCCTCAAAAATCACATGATACAACCCTGATTGAACCGATTGGCAGTTCTTTTCTCGGGTGTATTGGTTGGTGGGTCATTTGGGCTCTCTCTACTTGTGAACTAATGTTCACCACACAGTCTGCACATCAATATCTGCTGACTGCTGCTCTGAAACTGCAGACTTCTGTGGTAAATGTATGTACCATGTATGAGCGAGTACTCTGATTTATTCCGAGTACGATTATATTCGAAAAATCCAAACGAGTATTCGAATATTCGGTATAATTGTTTCACCCCTACATTAAACAAAGTTCCCAGCTTGTGTCAGTGTTAATTCGACTTCGGAGCTGCATCTGCGCCTTGATCCTTGAAGCGTGGTGGCGTTCGTACGGATGCGGAAAACTTGGCCTCTAGCCGAGTATAACGCGAACCGTGAATTTTTTAATTTTTTTTATTCGACGTTCGACATTCAACACACTCAGCCAATGGTAGCGCGGATGTGTGAACTTTACTTCTTACTAATACTTACATTCGAATGTACAGTCGTCTGTATCGTAAATTTCCTCTTTTTCTGCGTTGGTGTGCGCGTATGTGTGTGTGTGTGTGTGTGTGTGTGTGTGTGTGTGTGCGTGTGTGCGTGCTTGTCTGTTGTCACACACACTCTCTCTGTCTCTCTCTCTCTCTCTCTCTCTCTCTCTCTCTCTCTCTCTCTCTTTCCCCTCTTAGATGCGCCGTCTTGAGAAGGAGCGCATAGGCGGCTCACAATCACTGACTGTCTCCGGCGGCGGCGGTGATCTGCTGGGCAGGAAGCGCAAACACCACAGTCTCTTCTCTCCCGGCAAGCGTGGCCGCCGTCGCCAGGAGGTCATCTCGCATCACGCGCATCACCCGCAGCACCATCTGCACCATAATCATATACAGCAGCAGCACGGCGGTGGTGGCGTGCCGAGAGAGCTGGGCGTTGCGCAGGAGATCGTTGTCGGTGGTGGTGATGCGGTGCCTACTCTCGGATCGGCTATGCCGGATCACATGCAGCACATGGAGGAGGAGGCCGACGGGGACGGTGCTAGCGACTCCCAGTCCTCTGCTTCTCAGTCGGAAGGTGAGGAGGTTCAGGATGTGGACGACAGATCATTACACGAGCATTTAGACCACACGCAATTACATCATCATCAGCAACAGCAACACTTGCAATCAGGACAGCGATCTTCTCAGCATGCCCAGCAACAGCAACAGCAGCAACATCATTCACAGCAGCCGCCACCGTCACATCGTGTTCAACAGCATCAGTCCGCGACAGCAACACCCCAGCAATTGCAACAGCAGCATCAACAACAGCAGCAGCAGCAACGGCAGCAGCAGCAGCAACAACAACAACAGCAACAACAACAGCAAATTCTTCACCAGCAACAGCAGATTCAACTTCAGCAACAACAGCTCCTGCAGCATCAACATCAACAGCAGCAACAGCGGCAGCAGCAGCTGAAAAAACAAGCCCAGGACTCGCCTGCGGTTTCTCGGTCTCCGAAACTTGAAGTTAGAGCGTCTGCCACAGCGCCAGCACCAGTAGCAACGGCAACTGTTCCAGTACGCCAGCATGCGTCACAGCATCAGCACCAGCTTGCGCCACAGCAGCAGCATGCATCCTCCTCTCCAGGCGCTGGTCAGCAACATCATCCAGGCATGCCGGCACTGGCTGCTGCCTCTAGTGTCGGTGTGGGTAGCAGTACGACTGCGCCAAAACCAGCTCAGCGACCACACTCGCCAGCACCAGCACACAAGGCAATATCGGCAACAGCGGCATCGCTCACTGGAGAGCCAATGCCACCAGGGGCGGCAGCAGCCGGAGCGTCGCATCAGAGACCCCCGTCCAGACCGGCCGTTGTGCATTTGCAGTCCGCCACCACCGGTGCTACTGTGACCATGGCGTCAACAGAGCATGTCAAAGCTGCACAGGACACCGTGTCGAGTCACGGCAGTGCTGCTAACACGGCAAGCACACCATCCACTGCCGGTGCAGCCACCTCAGCCACTGCCGCCGCCGCTACGGCTGCTCCTCGATCGGCTAACTCGGCCACCTATCACTTCCACCAGCCGCCACCGGCCCCCGGTTTTGTTCACCCGGGTATGAACGTGCAGCACACCATGTTCATGCCCTACTCCGGTGTCTATCCTGCTGCCGCTGCTGGTAATGCCGCTGCATCCGCCACCGCCGCGCCTGCAGCAGCCGTTGCCGCCGCACAAGCAGCTAGGTCTCATGAGAGCGCCTCACCAGCGGCTGCTGCACCAGCTGCTGGCTCTGCCATGCTAAGTGGCCAGATCCGCATGCTCTACCAGCCCACGGCCATTAGTGTGCAAGCAGCTGGTATCGGTACCTCTCAGCAACAACAACATCAACAACAACAGCAGCAGCAACATCAACAACATCAACAACAGCAGCAGCAGCAACATCAACAACAACAGCAGCAGCAGCATCAACAACAACAGCAGCAGCATGCTCAACATCTGATACATCCGTGGATGATGAGCAAGCCGTCTTCGTCCGGTTCTGTGACAGCCACCAGTGCTGCCGTCAGCAAACCACCACCACTCCCCTCGGCACCATTGCGTACACAGCAAGGAGTGACTGGGGTGGGTGCAGGGCATGTACGCCACACATCACCACCACCATTGCTAGTGACTAGCAATCCAGGAGCAGCAGCTATCAACGGTGATCGGCCGAAATGAGCTGTGCTGCCGCGTAATGGCCTGACAATGTCCTTTGCGCATGCATGTATGTGCATGCGTGCCCATGTGTACGTGTGCGTATGCATGCCTGTGCGTGCGTGTTTCAAAACGTGTAGCTCGGGAACCCTCACCTTGCCCTCATGCCCTCTCTCCTGTGCCGATGACAGCTCCCCGAGTGTATCGGCTCAAGCTGCTGCCAGGTGTTTTACATGCAACCCTCAAACTGTAACTTAACTACTGCAGCAGCAACAGCAGGCAGCAGCAGCAGCAGCAGAGCTCTGTGTTGCCGAGTCATGTCACGACTGTACTATCGGTTGATCACGACCGGCATGCTGCCAGCCACCAATGCTTGTGAGTGCTGCTCCAACATGTTTGTCTCGTCTGTTCTACTTATTCCACGTGCGCGTGTTTTTTTATCGTGATCTTCACTTCAGTGGTGCCGGCCACTCCATGCTCATTCACACAATTGTCAAATTCTCTACCAGGTGCCCGTTTCTTATCTTCTTCCCCGGCCGCTCTTTTCTCACCTTGTTCGAGTGCTTCTTGGTGTGTGCGTGTGTGTGTGTGTGTGTGTGTGTGTGTGTGTGTGCACATCCGTGTGTGTGTGTGTGTGTGTCGAAATTAAAAGTAACGCTAGTTTGAGTAGCTGCATTGTTTTCCGCTTGAGATTATTCTTTCTTCTTATCTAAGTTCCGATGAGTAAAATTTCTTATCGACAATCTTACAATGGTGTCACGCTGAGCAATACTACATGAGTACTGTGGACTTTCCAGCACAGCCATGTCTTTACAAGCATAAGCAAGCCTCCCATTGTTGTTACTCCTGCTGATTCTTGCATCTATGCCTGTCTCGTTTTCAGGACAATTGTGTGTGTGTGTTTTTTTCCTTTTAAACCGATTGTTGTAGTGTGTCATTGACTTGATTGCAGTTCTTCTTCGTGGCGTAGTTCACGCTTTCCGTATTTCGCTGACGTCAGACGATCTGCTCCCTCGTGGCCTGTTGCTGTGTGCACTGCTGCGTTTTGTCGTGGCATACGGTACTATTGGGTACCGAAGAACAGGGGGGGGGGGGGGTCAGCCTCCTGGTCTAGACTGTTCTTATGTTGTCATGTACAGCAGTCTATGCGCATTCGAGTCACGCTTTGGTATGCTGTGCTTGGTGAATTTCTAGCCTGATCGCTCTTCCGCACTCTACAGTATAGTGCTGTAGCTTGCTGCGTCATTATTCATTAATCCATGAAGCAGGTTGCTGTTGGCAGCAATGTCATGTCATTCTGTCCAGGGGACCTACTAATACTATACCTGTAGTAAACTGTAACGAGAGAGCTTGGAAGCTCAGGGCCCTACGCTATGCTTTTATGCTTTTTTGCCTAGCTCATCGTACATGTTATAAGAACTGATGGAAATGTCTTTTTCCGTTGATTGGCCACATCACTGTATTGCAAAAACGTTTCAATCGGTTTGAATATTATGAGTTTAATAGGCAAAAGTATTTGCAGAATTTATTGCGGATTGTTATTTCTCTAATAATCATCTACTTTTGGTTTGCTCCTTCTTTTCTTTTTATCTCCTTACACTGTAAATCAACAAATTTTGGCCGATGAGAAAGAGAAACCTCTCTATTAGAGAGGTTAAGATGCACGTTATTTCCGACGTGACGCGCAATCTCACGTCAAATTTGAAATCGATAGGTATTTTTGCTCTCACATGCATCCATTGCTCAATCATGCATCATTTGCCTATATGACACACTTTGGCCTGCGATTTACTTTGGCCGGTTGGTACCAAGCGGCGAAATCAGCGAAATTAAATCGCCAGCGAAAATTAGTTGATTTTAATACAGTAATCGGATTTTCTGGTCTTTTTGTAGTAATACATGTACATTGACCTGTTGAGCCAATGACGACGCCGAATGCATGGTTGCCTGTGGATAGCACATTACATAACTTTACAGTCTCCTAAAATACGTATCCTGTCCGACGGCAAAAGAGGCTGTAGATTTAGTTTTTCTGCGCGTGGTCTGCGATGCGAAAGTTCAGCTCGCGTTATTTGGCTCGCACGTCGAAAAATCAACGCGAGTGACCTGCTGCTCACGTCGAAAATTGGACATTACACAACTTTACAGTCTCCTAAAATACGTATCCTGTCCGACGGCAAAAGAGGCGCTAGGCTGCAGATTTAGTTTTTCTGCGCGTCGACGGGATGTCTGTCCTGACGTTTACTGGGACCGGCGCTGACTCTGCCGATCACGGGCGTTCTGGACTTGACGGGATGTCTGTCCTGACGTTTCCTGGGACCGGCTTAGACTGTGCCGATCACGGGCGTTCTGGACTCAACGGGATTTCTGTCCTGACGTTGCCTGGGACCGGCGGACTCTGCCGATCACGGGCGTTCTGGAGTCGACGGGATCTCTCTTCCGACGTTTCCTGTGACCGGCGCTGAATCGCTCGTTCACGCTTATTTTGACACGACGGGATCTCTCTTCCAAAGTATGTTTATGCTGACGCATCCTATCACCTATTCGGCGTCTATTCTAATTTAATTTCCTCCTCGTCTCCCTATTTTTTTCCAAATCTCCCTCTACATCAGGGAGTCGTATACATAATACGGCGAATATTGGTACGGTACGGGACAGATACAGGAGCCCGCAAATATTGTGGACAGCTGTTATGTACAATCCTGTAGAGCCTTTGTAGTCACAGATACGGGACAGATACGGGACAGATACGGGATAGCTCCAGCCGTGACACAAACAAACAAACAAACAAACAAACAAACACCAAACGAGAGAGCTTGGAAGCTCAGGGCCCTGCGCTATGCTTTGTTGCCTAGCTCATCGTGCATGTTGTTAGAACTGATGGAAATGCTTTTTCCTTTGATTAGCTACATCATTGTTTTGCAAAAACGTTTCAATGAGATACAGTCCGTATCGCCTATAAGGTTGGCGGCTATAGTAATATACCGGATATAGTGATCAATTTCTCAAATTCATTTTCATTTGCCATAACTAAGTATACACAGTTATCGCGTATAGTAATAATCGTTTATAGTAATATATCGCCTATAGTGATCAAATTCATATTTCAAAAGACGTCTATTACACTATTTTTTGCATCGGTTATAGTGATTGATGTGAAATCAAGCATGTCAGAGGAGAACAGGGTGTTACCTCTTCGTGAAGAACTTGTCCAGTGAGTGTTGTTTGGTGAGTTTTGCTTGTACAAGTTGCCAAAATATGCCTCCATCATGAGGAAATCCTGATTTTGTGTGTCCGGAGCTACAGCCAGCTACATGACATTGTACATGTATGTAGTGCGTATGTGCACGGCGCGCTGAGTCGTTTGACACCTCACTCGCATACATTGCATGCAGTATCGGTCATAGTAATATATCGCTTATAGTGATAAAATGCTCAAAATCAAACACCAACGCGATACTGACTGTACTAGGGAGGTTTAGTCCCACGTAATCCGTGGGTACTTTACGTGGGTGTACCACGTGATACTCAGTGACCCACGTACAGACGTTTTCTGATTCACGACATACATGTACCGTGTATGGAGGCTCACCCACGTTCCGCCAGAACGTGGGTGAAAATCAGAATGGAGCGCATTGTGCGAGCTGTGAGGGTGCTCAGCTGAAGAAGTTTCCGAAGCACGAAATCAAAATATTGGATGAGCTTCTTAGGCCGGGGTAGCTTCGTCTTTGACCAGGTTTTGGCCTTTAGCTTCATGCTTTTGTTTGTTCCGTGTGACTAAACACAACATTGCAACGTGGGTGCCCTTCATCCACTTTACGTGGATCACCCACGTACGCGTTTACGGATTCTCCAGAGCTGGATACCAGGGAGTCGTAAAATACGGGTATTTTACGACTCCCTGCTGGATACCTATCGATATACATGTATCATGGGAGTCTCAGCTCACCAAACCAATAAAATAATGAAAGTAAAATTATGTATGGAGTGCAAAAAACTCAAAATCTGAGATTTTTTTATGCATAAAAGGTTCAAGCACTAAAATCCAGCACTGGAAGAAGCTGTTGCATGTTGTCCTTGAGACCCTGTAGAGGACTACAGGACTGTATCAGATATTTTAATACCAGTCTGTTTCGACCGGGGAGTAGTAAAATACCTCATCGAGCCTTTGCTAGGGATTGAGTTCATTTTTGCCTCCTGGGTGCAATGCATGAGTGCTTTTCTTTCTTTGCATCCTCTTTTATGCGGTCAATAAAAACACCCTTCCTAGTAAAACGCAGTGTTTATTCTACTCCCTGGCTTCAACCCTCACTGCCAACATTGTCAATGTCACGATCTCTTCCCCACGAAAATCCGTTCTACTTCAACTGGCGCCGGGCCGATGGGCCATGCCATGGCTTGCAGCATAGCATGCAAGGACGATGTACATGTAGGTCGTAGACGATTATGTGACCGCAAACTGCATGCAACTGCGACTGTCACGTCTGTGTGCTTGTGACCTAGCGCCTACGCAACGACGTCGTTGGGTGACGAGATGGCAAACTAAACGGCTTTGCGGTAGTCTACATAATCAGGGAGTCGTATTAGGGAGCATCTCATAAGTTCGCATTTTGTTTCTAAACGTAACGCATTTCGAAACGGGGGTAGGGGGGTAGCGCCCTTTTCGAATAGAAAAATGACTGTTCGCACATTTTCTGGAACTGTACAATCTACTACCGTGCTAGATCCCTGCAGCACATGAGTGTGTTTAGGTGGAAATCTACTAGTAGTACTATACTAGCTACCTGTGTTTGCAGATCAGCTAACCCTTGCACTGCATGCATGCAGGCTACTCAGAGGTGTCAAATGTTACACCAGCCTGATCAAACCGTGTACCTGGCCAGCGTTTACAGCAGTACAGTAACAATAATGTTGTGGAGGAACTATGTTTATGCGCGTGTACATGTCATTGATTGTACTTGTACTCAGTAAATGCGGTACATGCACTACTGTATGCCATTCACGACCGCTCTAGCAAAACATTCATATCCATGTACATGTACATAAGCAGTATGGGGCATGGACGTGTACAGTAGATAAACACAGAAAATGTGCGACAAGACTTTCGAATAGAGGGGGGAGGTAGGGGGGTAAAGTCTATTCGAAATGCGTTACGTTTGCAAAATAAATGCGAACTTATGAGATGCTCCCTTACTGCGTGTAAGTCGTTAGAGTATGTGAAATCCAACCCAATGGCTATGACAGCTCGAGCCCTGCGTAGCCCTATCGCTACAGTCACTGTGCTTTGCAGTGAATGCGGCACTAGAAGTCGGACTTCACTTGCAGCAACTGGTTTGAATCGCGAGGAGATGACACCGTGCGCGTGGGGAAAAACGAAATGAGTGCGCTTCGGCTAGATTACATGTACCATGATCACGACTTGCGAAAAGCAGTGCTGCCGTAAAAGAAGACAAGCGATGAAATCAAAATAATAATAATAATAATAATAATAATCATAATTCTTGGACAGTTCGAGGAGAAGAGAATCTGAATGAAGGGAGCTCGAACTAGTCAAGTGTATCAAACACGCTCTGTGGGCGTCCGGCGACTCGTGTGCGACTGGCTAGGGCCTAGGGCTGCACTGCAGTGCAGATGCAACGGCCGACAGGCGATAAAATAAAGAGCTCGTTCTCTCCAGTCGGCTTTCGTCCCCGTTCACAGCGTTGGATTTGTTCGTGGTTTGGTGTGGCCGGCCGGTGGAGCGGAAGAGCTGAGCCCTCTGGCTAACGATTTCAGGTAAGTCCAAGGCCAAGGCTGCATTATAGTGTTGTGTAGCGATAGTCGGATACTGTTTTCGTCGAGAAAGAAGACGCTCTGAGCTTAGCGGCTGTCGAAAAGAACAGGACTCGGGGAAGGATTCGTGTTGCTGCTTGTGCTAGGTGCGACTATAGTTTGCGCTAGACACCGTCACCTGGTCACCTGGTCACCTGGTCACACGTTGCATTGAATCTGCATCCTTCCTTTCGGTCTAACTAACTAGTTACTTGAATGCTCTCCCTTCGGTGCCAAAGAACTTGAAAACAGAACCCTGTACGTGACTGCCTGTAACGTTACGAGTGTGTATAAAAGTGCTGTAGAACGAAACTTTGTTTTGTATAAACCGAAGAGTGAAGACCCGACCTGGAGCTGCGCGAGGTGAAATCCTATGCCCTGCGCAGCGTGTGAATCGCTGTAGATCTACGCGTGTGAATCGCTGTAGATCTACGCGTGAGAGAAATGGGGAGATACAGCCAAGGGAGATACAGGCGCAGGTCCAGGAGTAGGGTAGTAATAGTCCGCGAGCCAAAACTCAAAATCACAAGTGCCGTTGCACTCTCGGATGGACAAATCGCCGCTTACAGTGTTGGTCAAGGACATCACAAAGGATACGTTTTCGCTTGTTGGACGTTCCAGAACCGATCCAGAGACCTTCGCGAGGGCTTCTTTTCTCGACCAAATTCCACCGTGAGAACAAATATTTTTACGCGAGTGGTGAGGTGTGCGTCGTATGAGCAAGCGCAAAACACGAGTTCGCGTGGAGTGAGGAAAAATAATTTATTTTTAGAAGATGACGACGTTGACGACAATATCGACTTGGGATATTGGGGATATTGTGATCACTTTATTGAAGTTTATTCCTTTCGTGTACATTGATGTTATTTTGACAACAATGGAAGAAGAGGAAGACGTTTCTAGTGGCAGCGAGGTGCTGGATGAGGCAGCTGACGGCAACGAAGTGGCAAATGACAGCCCAGCGGAGTAATATTGCTGGAATTTTGTGTCTGTGTCACAGCGCCCAATTTAGTAAAAACGAGAAGCCTGCAGTGAGTAATATCGAGACTACAAGTTGGTGTCGCATCGTCAGCGCTGCTCGAGAGAAGGACGACCATATCTGGGCTTTTCTGTGCCAGCACAAGAGCTCAGGGAGGAGTAAATGGTGTGGCTGGTATCATGGAAAGTGCTACACCAATTGCACCCATGTGATAGCAATTGCAAACCTGGAGAAGACCAGTGCCTCTGATTTTGCTTTGTCTATACTTGCTGACAGTGATGTGCATGTAGTAGTGAACCCAGAGCCACATCCTAAGGCCAGTAAGGGGCCACCTACCAGGAGCTTAGTGGTTGATACGAACAACGAATGCCATACCGGTAATTATGAAAGCAGAGCACGGTGTAAACACAACACGGAGAACTGGTCCACCCAGAGTTTCCGGAAGGGAATGTTTTGTTGCAGGCAGCACTGGAGAGGGCAAGACGACAAGTAGTGAGGGCGAAACCAGCGCTGCTGGAGGTCCAAGCCAGAGCACCTGGCTGATTTGCGGGCAACATACTACTGTATACCATTAGCTGTGTATGTGTGTGTGTGCACGTGTTTGTGTGCACATTTCTGGGTGTGCGTGTGTTTGTGTGTGTGCGCGCGCGTGCATGTGTGCGAGCGTGCATGTGTGTGCGTGTTTGTGTGTGTGGGCGCATGCATGTGTGTGTGTGCGGGTGCGTGTGCATGCGCGTGCATGTGTGTGCGCGCGCGCGCGCGTGCATGTGTGTGTGCGAGCGTGCATGTGTGTGCGAGCGTGCATGTGTGTGTGCGCGCGCGTGCATGTGCGTGCTAGGCGTTTTCCTTTGGTGGTGACACCACCCCAGGCTACTACTGGTGTTGGGGCATGGTGTTGCCACAGCCACTGCGGCCAGTGCGATCCGTGTTTCAGGTCGTTGGTGGGTTTTAGATGCCGCAATTGTCGACAAGGTGTGCGCCGTGTGTGTGTGTGTGTGTGTGAAACCCGACAGCATTGGTGTAATGTTGTCCGAAGAGACATCCATCACTTACATCTTGAAGGACATTGGTTCGACACTCCACAGCAGCGAGGAGAGTGGCGCACAGCATTCAGAATTGCTTCACCACCACAGCCGGCCTCCCGTGATCGGATTAAGTATAGTATTTGTAACATTTCCTTTTCGAAGAGCGGCCTGCCATGCCACAAGTGTACTCAAGAGCGTCGCAAACCTGTAGCAGACCAGTCTGGCAGCAGCCAATGCACCGTATGTCTTCGCTGGTTTCGCAGTCATAGCAGACTGACATAGTCGGATTCGGCAGCTGGTTCATGTGTGTGCGCGCACACACGCGTGCGCATAAGCGTGTTTGTGCGCGCGGTCCTGGGAGACTGCATAGTCGGATTCGGCAGCTGGTTCATGTGTGTGCGCACGCGCGCGTGTTTGTGTGGATTCGGCAGCTGGTTCATGTGTGTGTGTGTGCGAGCGTGCATGCCTGGGAGACTGTATAGTTGGATTCGGCAGCTGGTTCGTGTGTGTGCGCGTGCCTGGGAGACTGCATAGTCGGATTCTTCAGCTGCTTCATGTGTGTGTGTGTGTGTGTGTGTGTGTGCGCACGTGTGTGGGTGTGGGTGCGCGCATGCATGTATGTGTGTGACATCATCTTATATCGGTAGTTATCTGTTACTATGTTCTGCGGTGGACTGCGACAGCACACATTATGTGCCAAGATGTGCACCTGGTGATTTGCAACTGTGTTATGTTGAGTTGAAAATGAGCAATGACAGATAGCTTTTGGTGCTGTATGAGTGTGTTAGGAAATCAATAGCCAATTCCAACCTCTTGCATTGGCCGTCAGGTTGGATAGGATCAGCGCGTGCATTTACAACAGTGGTGACGTACTTCCTATTGTACTACTGTAATGTCACATTAGCTTCAGTGTTCATATCATTATAATACTGGAGTATTCTACGTATTCACTACTATTCAGTAATCGAGTGGTTATTACTTTTGAAATATACTTCACTCACCAATTCATTGCTCGCTATTATCTACAAGTTCCAGTCCAGTATGATGAAGTCAAGAGGCGATTTATCCAGCCAAGTAGAGGAACTTGGGATACGAAATCCAAGAGAAATCATGAGGGTTTTTCTCAGTTCGGCCATTCACGAATGTAATTGTTATTCTTCAACGCAAACTGAGTAATATTTGACCTTGAACAGGATGAAAAGAAGGTCATGCTCGGGGCAGTCGTCATTTGCTCCAGAAGGTTACTCACTACAGTCTACTACGCCTATTGGCCTAGGAAGTGGTGAACAAATATGTCGAGAGATATTTAGGACATTCTTGGAAGTCAGTTCTGAACGATTGCATTGTAACTACAAACAGTAGTGACTTTGCTGCTGTTTGCATCAGGGAGTATTGTACTACTCCCTGGTTTGCATCCCGATTCATAATTCTCAGCGGCAAAAAAATTCGAATCTAGTTTTGTGCACTGGTTTCCGCGTTATGTGCACTCGTGGTATCTGCTCATGGCTTCAAAAAATGAGAATCCGTGAACAAGCGCAAAAAGATCAAGCGAAGAAGGCGAAAATGGCCGCTGCTGTCAGTGAGCAAAGTTGGATGTTTGGCGTCTTCTGTGACCTCCCTGGATCAGTTTCGAACTGTCCAACAAGTGGAAATCGCTTCAGGATAACATCGTGAAGCGGTGTGCTGAAGGACGATTTGTCCATCTCTGGGTGCAACGGTCGATGCTAAAACGGCCGATTCTGAGATTTGGCTCACGGACTATAAGAAGGTGGATGCTGTGCTGGTGAAGCAAACCAACAACGCCAGCTCGTGGTCTCTAAGTCTAAACGAACGGCTTGTGTACCCCCCAGACCATGGAGTCTAAGAATACGTAAACGGAACGTAGCAAAGAGGGCAGAACATTCATGCTATGCAGGTCTTCGGTGCAAAAAATTCTAACATTCGCCTGGAGATTGCATAGCATGGCAGTGGCAAAAATATTATGAGTGACTCAGTCAGCCTGCCTTCTTTGTGAGTAGTAGTTGATGAGTAGCATTGTGGGTAGATCTTCAACTCACTACCCCTCTCCTCCATCATCTTTCAGGCTTCTCTTAGATCTCCCCCCCCCCCCCCCCTTATACACAGTAGACATCTACACAGTGCTCTAGCCTCTATATCACCCACTGGGCTAAAACTTAGTACAATACAATAGATGACCATTCCTCTGACTGATAAAATAATTATTATTGTTAAGGCGCCCCCAGAAATGTTTAATGTGTGGGTGACTGCAGAGCAAAACATAATAATTACTATCATGGTGACTGCAGTGCAGAGCAAAACATATCACTGATAATGTTTTGCTCTGTGTCACCCACGCATTGGCAATTTCTGGGGGCGTTGTAACTTGTAACACATGTTTACCATGCATGGGGGTGGCAAACACCCTCAAATCAAATAGCATGATTTTGCCTGATTTAAAACTCTTCACACTCCCTGTACTTCATGCATGGTCAGAAGCTAGCCAATCCAAAATCAATAGCTTCAGACACCCATGCAAGAACTGCATGACTGACCTGCTCAGAATCAGTGGGCAAAGAGATCAAGACTGACATGGCTCATTGATCTCTCAAGGGTCTACAGTCAGGGTGTACCCAAGGGGTACCCAAAGCAAAGTGCATGGCAAAATTACCTGTGTTTTTTTGCAATTTCGAGGCGTATCCTGAGCTTTCCTTAGCTGTATCTCGTTGCTTTTTTGACATTGGCCATTGCGGATTTGTGCTCAGAAGGTGTGTCTTTGGAGGTGTACTGTCTCGAATTTTTCGATTCGGCCTTGGTTGGGCTGAGATCGAACATTGAAATCTGTTGTTATTCATATACTTCCTTCCATAATTCAGGGGGGGGGGGGGGGATTGGGGACGGTCCCTTGATAAGGAATTCTAAAAGCAAGAAAATACGCCACTGGGTGTCGAAATCGGTTCATTGGCTCCTACCGAGCACCGTTTTGAGGAAGCAGGACTATTGCGCCATGTGCACGGCAAACACCGAAATAGCCAAAGAAATCAAGCTGAGGAGAAAGATCCCAGAAAGGCAAAGAAAAGTACAACTGACATGCACATGATCAATAGACGGACAGTTGGTCCGTCACCGGCCTGCGCATATGCACATGCATTCGAATTACTTCAGTACAATGTAGTCGATCGAGCAATCGATCGTCCAGACTCATTCAGTCTGCAGGATTCTTTCTTCTTGTTCGCTTTAGTTCTGTTTTGCAAGCCGCTCAACTGTCTAATCTTGATGGTGTCCAGGGCCGCTGACACTGGTGGTGCCCGAATCGGGCGAGGCAGTCGGTGACTGACTTGTTGCTGCCATTGCCGCTTGGGCTTCGGCAGGTGAAGGACTAGGTGACTGAGGGCTGTCAAAGGAGCACTTTCCCGCTGGGCTCACGCCTCCCTTCCGCACGAGCAAATATTTCACGCTGTAAACACGGCCTTCTTCTTGAAGCTGATCCATGACGGTATCATGTCCTTGTCTGGACTTATGCTTTTTCAGCGTGTCGTGGTGACCTCAAGCTGCGAGGTCAGGGTTCTACCGGCTCTTGTTGCAACTTCCCGTTTAGAGGAAATTTGATGCTGAGCCTCGCGAATGGTGTCGGCTGTGATAGTGTTGCAGTATGCCTTCACCTGCTCAGCTATTTGCCCCTTCGTTTCTTCTGTCAGCTGGGTTGAGGAGGACAGCTTCCTCCGCTTATGACGGGCCTCTCCAGCGTGGACCACGTTCTCTACGAATGGATGCGAGGCCTGCTTGCTTTCCTCCGATTCCGCTCCAGAAAGATAAATTGATAAAAATAAGGTTGAATTGTCTTTCAGCAAGTGCATTATGGACAGGCAGGGAGAAAATGTGTTGGCACAGCCAACCCCACAAGATCTCTTCCTTTGCCTTTGGTGGAGAGCACCCGGAGGAGTTTGCGACCTTCGCTATGGCTTGCAGAAATTCATCGCTGGCCCATATTCCACCGGTCTCTCCAACTCTTCAGGTCTTGTAAGCACGATCGAAGAACTCCGTAGATAATAAATTCATCAAGCCATGCTGAGCTGTCAGCTCCAGCCAGTAGTACCTGGACTGTGGTGGTCAGGTCCATGTCGACAGCTGCAGCAACGACATCATCCGGATCACCATCTCCATCTTCCTCGGCAGCATCAAACAGCAGTGTGGCATGTTCGGCGGATATTTCACGATTAATGGGCTTGGGACGGTCCTTCTCACCCCTTAATGAAAGCCACGACCGCCGGAAAGTGGAACTGTGTCGGGTGCTTGCACCCAGGCACAGGACTAGCGGCGCCTGAAGCCATCGGGTTGCGTGCTTGTTCAGGGTACTGCGTATTGCCATGATGAAGGCTGGCATAACTTCGCCGACAACAAGTCCATAGTCTTCCGGGGCAAGCTTGGCGGCGGCCAGCATTGTCTGCCATAGACCCACACTGCAAACAGTCCCGAGATGTGTCTGCATAATCATACGCCAGCCAGACTGCATCCCCAGCAATGTTTGTAATTGCATTGGTAATTTACGTGTCACATCATTGCAACAGGTTCACATCATATATACAAGCAGCCAGTTGTTCCCTCACCACATCATCCTCATGACTCGCATAAACCACTTGCTCAGCATCAGGAGTATCATCAGCTTGCTCGGGTGCTGCCAGGTCTTCTTGTTTGATGTTGGGATTTTTTCGAGGAGTAAAGCGGCCTTTGTTCCTCCGGCCCTTAAGAGACATAGCCAGGAACTGGTCTCGATATTGTCTTGCTATGGATAGCTATTCCTCCGCGGAAAGAAACCCAGCTCACTCTCAATCCAACGAAGAGCGTTCTGAGCTGTTTTCCACAAATGTTTAGAAAATAAAAAGGACATGGCTAGAAGAAAACGCCGTTGATCAAACAAGCCCACATCAGCTGCCTTCGCATAGCAGGCGTCGCTGTCCGTGCTTCAGAGATTTTAGAAGCAATAGTTGCGATACTGGCTTGTCATCCATGAAACCACCACTGAATGGAGAGGCATCAAGACTATTGATAGCTAGTAAGGAACAAAAGAGAAAGAGAAGAGAAGGGTGCCTACGACTCTTACCTGTACGTAGTCACAAGTTAGTGTCAGGCAAAGAGCAAACTGCACCAGAAACGCCCCCCCCCCCCCCCGGAGCATCTACGGCTTGCTTGAGTACTCGAAGAGTGAGCTGGACAGACACGTGTTTCAGCAACTAGCACGAACTTGCGTGCATAACCGCACGGGGGGGGGGGGGGGGGTACATGTAAGTACTATAATTATAACCCAATACTAGTTCAAAAGTAGTATTGGATAAACCTTGTTATAGTTCACGCATATTGTTAGATTGACAGCATGAAACAAGGTGGAGGACGCTGTGTTCGGAAACAGTGACCTTACTACAACCTGGTTCAAATGGTCCGCAGGGACAGGGGCTCTGCCAACCGCGGAAGGTTGTAGTAAGGTCACTGTTTTCGAACACAGTGTCCTCCACCTTGTTTCATGCTGTCAATCTAACAATACTGTAGTGGACTACTAGTACATGCACCTACATTCACACTCTGCCAACTCTCTCTCTCTCTCTCTCTCTCTCTCTCTCTCTCTCTCTTTCTTGTTCAATAGTTCTGCATTTCTCCCTCTTTTCTCTTTCAATCCACTATCCATGCAACAGCAGTGTCTGGCTGAAGAATGGTATCCCTCGCTGGGAAGGTGTTTCTTCTTGCTTCGGTTCTCACCATCTCCTTGTACCAGTGTGCAGCAAAGCACGAGATCAGCAATGAGCGCTACTTCAAGGACACGGTGGGTGCAAGGTGTTTCTTCCTCCGCTGCTGACAAGGGAGAACTCTCGTGCTGTGTTTGTGTGCACGTTGGCGTCGAATGGAACTGAGCATTGTTCTGGAGTGGGAATGGTGGCAACAAATTAAAAAAATGGTCTTCCGGTTTTAGTCCTAATTCCCCGAAAAATGCGCTTTACAGCGAACCAATAGCAGCATGACTCCAACTGTTGCAGTAAAACCTGTGTTTGCCGGACTCTTTGCCAAGCGGATTCCTGTATTGACTGAACAAATTGTCATTCATCAAATTGTAGGTCTTGTAATGAGTATTATGTACTATCCGGACTTGAATGTACGCGTTTCAGGCTTCAGGTCAGCAGCGTAGCAGCCGGTCTGGCCGGACCACTCTTTTTTAACCCAGTGTCCAAAGTGCCCAGAAAGCGGGAATTTGCACCCCAATTTCAAATTTTTCACGGGGACACCCCAGACCCCCCCCCCCCCCCCAGGACCACCTCCAACAGCATTGCTACGCGCCTGCAGGGGATTTTGATCGTTATCTACTAATGAGGTTTGTCTTGAAACCGGTGTTGTACTAACCTAACGCAGGTAGACCTGTACGCAACAAAGGGTTATACAGTCAGACCTCGCTTATCCGGTCCTCTTTTATCCGGATCCCTCTCCATACGGAAGAAAATCGTTGGCTACCGATGTATAGCATATGCCATGCATACATACAGTATGTGTGTTCGATTATCCGGTTCCCTCGCCTGTCCGGATACTTTTGTGGAAAACGGATGTGTGCGGTTATGCGAGGTCTGACTGTACTCCAACCCGGGTCGGAGCTTGTGTCTCTATGTTGTATGCTGTATGGTGGAATGATTAACTGCACAGAACTTTCTGTTCCTGACCCGCTTCTGCTTTGAGCCTGGTGGTCTCCTTGCTATCAACGTGACATTCCCAACGGTAAGTGTCATGCTTACCTTGGAGAGGACGCTGTGTGTGTGTGTGTGTATGTGTGTGTGTGTGTGTGTGTGTGTGTGTGTGTGTGTGTGTGTGTGTGTGTGTGTGTGTGTGTGTGTATGTGCGTGCATATGTGTGTTAATGCAATCGAAACTGAGACTCAACCAGTTGCCACGACTTGGTCACACACTCCCGAGAAGTTTGTCGCAAGTACAGTAGAGTGTCGATTATTCGCACCCCTCGCCCGCACCCACGGCCTGTTCAACTCAATGCAAACCGGGATTGCGGATGATTGATCGTTCGGATGATCGGCATTCTACTGTATGATAATTTTGTCTCTACCTTTGCTGGAATGGAAGCGGGGTGATTGGCGATACCTCTGAAAGCACCTCAGACACCAGGAAAGAAGAGGTCGCTGAGAGACCGTGGATTCACTGTAACTGGATTTAGAGCTTATGCGAATGATTTCTCAACATCGAGCTTTTCAAATGGACACGTATACAAGCATGAGTCAGCAGTTTTTTCGAATTGGTATACAGCGTGAGTCGCTAGTGCACGTGCAGCGGTGTGCAGCAAGTCCGCAACTTCGCCAAAGCATCTCGCCTAATGATGTAATGCATCTCGCCTGATGATGTAATCGCATAACCTCTATATCTTGATGGGTGGAAGGAAAGATTCGCGGACCAGTCATCTAGAGGAAAAGTGACTTCTCACTCCAATGCCTGCTAGCAATTGGTGTACCAATTCGTGTGACTGTATTCTCCAGTCTTTCCAGTAGGATCCCTTTCTGACATTACTTGTCATTTTTTGTGCATAAGCTATCATGCAGATGTATCATCGGAACACAACTGAACCACACAATATCTTGAACTGTAGTTCTATGGCAATACAATGTCATTTATCCAAGTACAGAGAAATCTGTGACTAAAGACCACCGTGACTAGCGACCAGCATGGTACTACAGACCACTTTGCCAGGCATGGACGGTCTCATATTCACATTATGGTTGTGCGGTACAAACCTCTAACTAAAGACCACCTGCCACTAAAGACCGCTTTCTCTGGCCCCAAGGGGTGGTCTTTAGTCACGGGTTTTACTGTACAGAGAAAGAATACACGCATCAACGTAGTCACGACTCCTTTTCTGTCACTGTATCCAGAAATTTTCTACTTTTTTCATAGACGTGGATGCTGTTTTCTTGTTTTTGTCTTTATGTGGTATTATCCCTGTGCAGAGTGAATGCTGTCCCAAACTACTTTTCTACTACAACACACCTGACCAATGGTCCAAAGTCAGGAAGGGAAATGGGGTACGTGTGTCGTGATCATTTTGTACGGCCATCCGTTGGTCTGGCTCTTCGTCTCGTTGTCTTCTTGTCATATCTCTGTAGGTGTGTAGGTCTCTTCCTCTCTTTCTATTTCAACCTATCTCTGTCTCTGTGTGGGCGCCTCTCTCTCCTCTCCTTGTCTCTCTCTCATTCTCTGTCTGTCTGTCTCTCTCTCTCTCTCTCTCTCTCTCTCTCTCTCTCTCTCTCTCTCTCTCTCTCTCTCTCTCTCTCTCTCTCTCTCTCTCTCTCTCTCTCTCTCTCTCTCTCTCTCTCTCTCTCTCTCTCTCTCTCTCTCTCTCTCTCTCTCTCTTCTTTATTTGAGCTTTCTCAGCATGTGCCGTGCACATGTATGGTGTGTGTGTTACGTGTGTACGTGCCTATATTATGTGTATATGTGTTTGTGTGTTTGTGTGTTTGTGTGTTTGTGTGTACTTGTACGTATGTTTACGGATGTTTACGCGTACAGGATAGCTGTGAGTCCCGTGAGAATGTCGCAGTGGCCAGGAATAACTACATATCTCTGTCGCCACATCTATACGCTGGTTGCCGCGAAGTGATGCTCGACGGCATACTGCATATCCAGTGTGCAGGTAATAAATTATCAAATAGCAGAGACCCTGGTTTTGTTACAGCATTGTAACTGGCGTTGTCGGGTGCAGGGGGGGGGGGGGTTATGTAAGAATGCGTGGAGGCTGCGCCTTTGACCTTTGGTAGGGTTTTGTATACATGTATCATGATAATGGTATTAGAGAACATTGTGTTTGCTTACGTAATGTGTTCATAGTTTGACAGCAGCATGTAACAAGGTGGAGGACACCGTGTTTGGAAACAGTGACCTTTCTACAACCATCCACGGTTGGTAGAGCCGCGGTCTGTTGAGACCATCTGAACCCGGCGCATGGGTCCTGGACCCGGTTCCGACCCTCTCTATTCTAGAGGGGGTTATAGACTTCTGCTAATGTCAGCCGTGCACTCTGCGATCGCTCCTGGATGTTTCGGCTGACTCGGCTGTAAATCCACGTCAGCAGAAATCTTCTTATCCTGTTGCACGGCACCCCAGGGATTACAACCACTCGTAAATGTAGGAAATGCCGGCGTCGATGTTTATGGACGGTTGTCGCTCTTTGATGAGGTATGCTTCCGTATATTTTCGTAGGGAGAGTTGTTGAACACGGCGACGGACGACCGGTCTTGACCAATCGATGCATGTGCAGTGTCGAAAACGTGCTTGGCGACACCGTTGTCCATTTGTTGTATGCTGACGTCACATTGATGTCCCTCTATCCTCTTTTTAAGCCTTCTTCCCGTTTCGCCAACATACTGCGCTCCGCAAGTGTGACAGTACAGGGAACATAACAGTTTCCACACCATCTAGCTCCCTGTGTGGTGGAGCTGGTGGCTTCTTCCGAGTGAGGAGGTCTTTTAAAAGAATAGAACGGCGGTGCACCACGCGAAAGGATGCCCGCACTCGATCCGGAGCTGGATATCCGATAAGGCACCAGGATATGGCTCACTCTGAAACGTGAAGGGTCCATTCGGAGTGATCCCTTCCGGATCCTTCTATGTAGCGTGCGACTTGTAGCTGCTGTAAGACTGTGACTGAGTGGAGAGGGATGGCTGCGGTTGGCAGCGGACTTCAGTTGCATCCACAATCCAGAATGTCTTCGGGTACGTGGACTTGAAGACACTTGGCATTGATGGCCGAGCATCAGGCCAGCTCGGCCAGATGGGGATCATACCGAGACAAAGAAGGTACAATAAAAAAAACCCAGGTAGTTATTATATTATTTTTATCATTATTCCACAATCACGATGACATAGTGCCAATAAGCATGTGATGCGGGCCATTTTAACCAGCCATGGTGGGGAAAACTGAGAAAAAGAAGGAGAAAAAAAGAGAAAACAAAACAAAACAAAAGGAGTACTAAAGGAACCTGGAGAGAGCAGTATGAAGATTAGGCTAGCAATGAAAAACAAGTTCTATTATACTGTAAAACAGATGATCTACTTGTGCCAAATACAAACGAGCTCCTGTTTCATTTGGCCCAGGCGTAGACGCATCTAAGTCAACAGCAGCTGATCCTCCATTCTCATTGGCCATTTACGGCCACCTCCAACTCTTATCCGCTATCCGTCTGCTTCTGTCTTCACAGATCTGGTGCTCAGTACGTGCTCTGGGCTAGGCTCAAGAATGTCCGACAGAGCGTTCCAGACATCTGAAGATGAACCAGTCAGAAACTGGAGCTGCTCTAAATCTTCCTTTATATTGTCGTACTAAAGCAGCTGTTTTTTGGCTTTCTTCACCCGAGTCCTCACATCTTCCAACTGCTCCTCGAGACTCGGTGCACTGGAGCTCTACTTGCTGCCAGCTTGTGATGCAGATGCTGCACTTCCGCTATAGGACCAAACTACACCAGGCTAGGTTCCTTTCCAACTCAAACTGCCGTTGCCTGTCACCAAATACTGCTTTGCGAGCCTCGGGAGCTGGACGTCCAAACTCCACCCTCTTGCGAAAGGAAAACCTGGTCAGACAGCTGTTTGGTTTTAGGCGTTTCTTGGACTCATCCTTCCCTAGCAGAGCTGGGTAAAGCGATTCCATGCCTGCCAAGTATCCTGATTTATTTTTGGATGACCTCCCAAAATCCCGAAATTCTTCTCAAATATCCCGAGGAGTTGAAAAAATGAGGTGAACTGCAGTTTTGACGATTCCACACAGGCGGCCACAACACTGAAAAGGAATGGATACGCATTGTTTTATTTTCCTGGTGGCGATACTGAAGTTTTTGTCTCTGAGCGGCTTATAGTACTGTCGTGGACATGGAAATCCGGTCGCATGTCTAGCGGCCCCAGAGCGTTGGCCATGCAGCCGTGGGTAATTTAGCGGTACACACACACATGCGCATTGGTCGCATCGGATCAACATGTGCACTGCATGCAACGTCCTATACGCGCTGAGGGCACCGGCCCCAGTCATTCGACTGGATTTCCATGCCCACTACAGTACGTGTACATGTGATTGTATAACTTGCGTAAAAATGGGTCATTTACATCATGAAAAGTTGAAAATGAATGACTTATGGAAAAATTGACATCCCGAAAAAAAATGAGCAAATCCCAGGATTTTACATTGACGATCCTGGTAAAGCACTGCCTGCACTTGGCAGGTATGCAATTCGGGACCGAAATGATCGCTGCAAACGCGAGTATTCGGAGCGACCGTAAATCTAGGTCCTTGCTCGCGCAGTATAGCCTTGACCCACTTGCTTCGCTGGGGCCACACGACGAAAAGAGGGGAATGACTGACTGTAAGACGACACATGTTCGGCCCATTCAAAGTTCGGCCTCCCAGGGCTAAAACGCATTTCGGCTGCAACGAAATTTCAGCTTGTACTGCTGATGCCTGTACACTGTCACACTGAACCTTGCAAAACAAAATTTCGGCCAAATATGATCAGGCCGAAAATAGTTGAAAATTTAATTATGCGAATTTTAACAATCAAAGCGAGAAATGAACAAAGGAGAAAGGAAGGAAACACAACGTGATAACACATAACAGCAGTACATTACACCTAGAACATTAACGGCCAAGCTTGGCCGCACTAAACACGACACGTTACTTGAACAAGTTCAACCCAATTATACTATCTTTCTGTACACACAAATTAGGCTTATACAGACGCTGATAGATAGCTTACAACACTTTGAACTGTAGTCCATAACCATGACGACCACGGCACAATACAGTGAACAGAGCAGTGATGGTGAGAGTGCCGGTGAGAGTGTTAGTGTTGTGCGTAGGTTTCGTGGTAGCAAGTCTTCAGTGTACAATCGTCTGCTAGCTAGTCCTGATTGTTGCAATTCGTATTCCGACTCTTCGTTCACTGTATTGTGCCGTGGTCGTCATGGTTATGGACTACAGTTCAAAGTGTTGGAAGCTATCTATCAGCATCTGTATAAGCCTAATTTGTGTGTACAGAAAGATAGTATAATTGGGTTGAAATTGTTCAAGTAACGTGTCGTGTTTAGTGCGGCCAAGCTTGGCCGTTAATGTTCTAGGTGTAATGTACTGCTGTTATGTGTTATCACGTTGTGTTTCCTTCCTTTCTCCTTTGTTCATTTCTCGCTTTGATTGTTAAAATTCACACTTATAAATTTCACTGCTGTTGCTCTTAATAAAATTATGCGCCGAATATTTGTTGACTGACAGTACTTTTTTCCTTCATCCTTTCCCTTCTGATAGTGAGGAACTCAGCAATGATCGTGAGAAGGCATCCTGAAGTCGTAAAATGGAAGACATCTGAGCAAATAGCAAAACAGCTCAAATCAAAAGACAAAGAGAAACAGTCATACTACTGGCCTCACGCGAAGGTGCCTGGTTCGAGTCCTAATGGTGACAGTCCTTTGAAGAGAAAATAACCCGTTAAGTTACTAGTTATGACTAACAGTCCATCAAGGTAACGAGATAATATGCAGTCAGATAATGCGACCTAGACGAGCAGGGCGGATCTCTGGCTGAATTTCCAGAATTTATACGGTACCCCACAGTCCTATGAAGCCAAGTTTGCTGGGACTGTGTGAAGATGCTGCGAGGCAAACGACTGTCACAGGGGACATTGTTTGTTGAACATAGCGAACGGTCTCTGCTTAGATGACAGCTACACTATAGCTCAGTGGCTAGAGCATTGCTGGCCTCAAGCGAAGGTTCCTGGTTCGAGTCCTGGTGGTTACAGTCGATTTTTTCTTCAGACTTTTCCCTTTTCCATTCCCTCAACCAGTGAACAGGGACAATGGTTTGGATGTTTATTCTTTGGAAGTAAAATATTGGCTACGCTCTTATTCTGTCTCTATCTGTCTCCACCTGTACCAGGCACTACGACGTTCCGGACTTCATGGCACGAGTGGTGGTTCATCGTCCTCTCTAATTGCGACAGGAACGTAAGTTATCCTTAGCTTATCTTCTTTCTCCTACACGCTTCTTTAGTCGATATCCGTTGTCCTACAGTTTCTTTTGCCGCTCACGCCATGAAACTCTATAGAAAAGTATTCTACTAACCCTTTGGGAGCCGTGACGAATGTCTGTGAGTTATGTATATCAACTATTTTGATGTTCTTTGTATCATAACTTCAGTTCTACTCAATGAATCTTCAAAATCTCGGCCTTCCTGGAAATCTCTTAGCAAGAGGAAGAGGATGGAGCGACGAATGATGACAAGGCTGATTTCAAAGCTCATTTTAGTTACTTATGGGCTTTCGTGTTTGCATGTGTGTGTGTATGGCCTACAGACACTGTCGCTAACCAGGCACAATTTAACCATGCACAACTCTCCTGGAATATTCACCTTGGAGTTTTCCGCGGACGAATTCAGTAAGCTGGCTGGTGTGTGTGTGTGTGTGTGTGTGTGTGTGTGTGTGTGTGTGTGTTTCGGGGCCCTGGGTGTACGTGCCTGGGGTTGTGAGCTGTGAAGTCTAGGGTTTGATAGACCATGTGTAAACAAAGAAGACGTGTTGAAGATGTATGTACAAGGGTACCTTTGCAGCCCTTTTTCTGCTCGGAAGATGAGCCCCTTTGTCAGTACCTCGTATACTATGATCAGCTATCATCCATCCATCCCCCACCCCACCCCTTCTCTCTTCCAGGGGCGGCTGAACCGGTCTGGTTGGTCAGGCCATGTGATGGTGGCCAAACAGTTTGTCCACCATCACATGTTTACTGTCAAGAATGTTATACGTAACCGTCTGGAAGAATGGAGGACTGTGGTTTGGTCGGACCAATCGAGAACGGCTTCCGACGGTCCTGTCTTCCCCTCTACTCTTTTCTTACATTATGAATAGGCGTGTTCTGTGCTGGACAATGAAATCTAACCTCATGAATAGGATAGCGTTGCCGGGCGCTACGCAGTCCTAACACTACACACACTGGTCTGTGAACTCTAACGCGGCACTACTCTATTCATGAGGTTGTATTTCTCTGGACCGTACTGTACATAATATGTAGGTGTGTAATACTTAGTTAAGTTTGTGCCCACGTTCACTTTGCTGTTTCTCTCTTCTGTGTTGCACATCATCTGTACCTAGCGATTCTGCAAACTGACATAGCCTTCCTGGCGCTGTACACTGTCATTGCTGCCCAGTGCTTAATGGTCGCAAGTAAGTATACGTGTCGTGTTTCGATGCATGTAGTCAACCTGGTCACAAGCAAGCATTCCTAGGCTGGTTGTGGTTCTAAACACGAATGTGTAGCTGGTGGTAGTGAGGATGTGCGAACTCTTAGTTTTTATACTCCATGATGAAACTGTTCCAGGAGAGTCTCGGGCAGGGTTAACAAGAAAGCCTGTGTGTCTTGCTTGTTATGGAAGTGTGTTCACAGCTCTTGCTACGACTATTGGTGACTGTTGCCAGCTCACACACTTGCATCAAGCAATGTGAATATTACGACACTAGGCGTGGTCATTCACATGCCAGAAGTTCCAGTAACGTCTGTGGTGGTAGATGAAGAGCTGATGTAACAGCCAAGTAGATGGAGTATCATTCCTCGCCCACACAGCTGCCACCTGCGGCCCATCTCACTAACTGTGCATACTTGCCTGTGCTGTCTCTCCTTTCTCCTGTTTTCCCTCTACACTCCTGCACCGAGTTGGGATTGTGTGGTCCATCAAAAAAGTGGCTGGGAGTGTGTGCATATATGCACATTTATCTGTGTTCATGTATATACGCTTTGTTCAATAGAGTGCTCAATACCGAAGGCTTAAAAGGCACCGAAAAGCATGCTTAGTGGGTGAAACTCGGAGTAAAAACACTTTTTTCATCCTCTTATTGTGTGTACACTTTGTTCTGTTGTTTTCTGCAGGGGTGCTGAAGATGCGTCGGATCCTGCATCCATCCTACCACCTCTACATCTGCTCTGTACTGTGTTCATGTAAGCTATGCCGGGTGCATGTCATAGTGCAGGGGTGTCGGAAGGTGTTCGACATTGGTGCGGCCGCATGAGTAGGTGGGGGTCTGGGGTCCTCCTCTGTAAAAAAATAGGGAACTTGGGTAAAATGGGGTAGATGTCTGTATTTTGTGACTAAATATCTGGGTGTCGTTTATACTCCAATGTGGCTTGTACTCTAGAAAATGCCTTGTAGTTGTCTTGCGATGCATTGTGTGAGACATCGATGTACCGATGATGTTTATTGCTGGCCACTTTGGTGCTCTTCCTGATGTCTTTGTTCTGTGTTCTGCAGTCATGGATGTGATGTGCTGTCTTTGTTTTGTGTTCTGCAGTTATAGCTGTGATGTTCTCCACTATCCACTATGCTATGTTTGCCAATGACGGTGTCGGCTTTCCTGGACTCGACTCTGCAGGTGGGTTGCCGTTACGTCTTTAGCGGTGATTGGGTTGAAGTTTCAGGGAAATCCCCTAATCCGGGCAGGTTGGGACCGAGCACTGCCTCTGACTAGGACTAGCATGTAACTCAGAATATGCAATCATACTTACTGCATGCAAGCAAGCAAGAGTACATAATCACCCAAAGTGTGCAACGATTGATCCAGCTCCGCATAGGCTCTGGGTCTGGCATAGTCGGATTTTCTGATGTCATGCGTACACTCCACACAAGCGCAAGGCCGGTCTCGAGGCGGGGCACTGTAATTTTTGATCGGAGAGTCCCCGCGACTCCCCGGGTTCTCCTCAAATGTGTACGGTATGATTACGCAAAGATCCGATTACGCTCAACCAAGACCCTATGCTATGCACAGCTGGATCAGGCGTTGGTTGGGTTGTGTTTATTTGAATTCGCAAACCGAACGGACTGAACATGTCCAATAACAAGGAAGCGAATGAAGTCCAAGTAACCCAGGAATGGGGACACAGATGAAAAGAAAATATGGGAGCAGAAGGCTCTCAGCAAAGGAAGAAGAGAAAAGAAGGAAAAAAAAGAATAAAGGAGAAAAAGAAGAAAATCGTGGTCACGGCGAGAAGAAATCTTTTAGCAAAAAGAGAAAGGAAAGGCTGAATGAGAAAATGGGGAGACACATCGTGGTCACGGCCAAAGCCGAAGTAGCGGCAGGACACAGTAGACATAACAACACCAGGAACAAGCACGCATGAAGCATGGGCCATGCCGGCCCAGAAGCGGGAGACCCCGAAAGGAAGAGAGAAGAGAAGAGAAGAGAAAGAAATCGAAGCATTGCACATCCACACACCCACACATCCACACATCCACACATCCACACACCCACACGCACACACACACACACACACATACATGTACATACCCACACCTACACACCAATAAACACATACTCAGACACATACCCCCCCCCACACACACACACACAAACACACACACACACACACATATGTACATTGACAGCCACGCATACAATTGCTTTGCAGTGTTCTCAGTTCATAGAAGAAACGGGACTGCTGCAGCACGGAACTGACGAGGAACAGAGATGGAGCGAATACTGCTAGGCAGGTTGTTCCAGCATAGCGCACCCTGGAAGGCGAATGTCCCCTTTCCAGAGTTGCTGCGGGCGGGCGGGTGGCAGGCAGAGACCCATGCTGGAGTCCAGGCGCGTGGACCGGCCACAAGCTGGCAGCAAGAGAACCTGAAGCTCAGGACTTGCTTGGCCGTAACGGCAGCGCCATGCAAGGAATGCCAGCTTGCACACTCTGGGGGGGGGGGGGGGTTATGTACTCTTGGTGCAAGTAAACATTTTTCGAGGGCCAGTCAATGGTGTTTGGGGCCGCTATTCTTGGAAAAGCCAATTATTGTGACTTTTAGCTTAATAAGAGATCAGTCAGAAAGGTGATCGGTAGATGCATGTGCCCGGATTTGGGGGTGTCCGAATTTAGAGGAATTTTGCTTGTGTGGAGTGTAGTGGTTTCCCTTCATTCTGCTCATGTGTGTTCATATTGTTAGTCGCTGTTCATTCCGTTCTAGCATGTACAAATTTGTGTTATCTCTGCCCATTCCCTGACACTTAGGAATGAGTGTACCCGGTTTTGCTTGATGATTCTCTTTTCGACTGGCCTTGGTGATGTTTTTCAGGGGAGTTCTTCCGCTTTGTTGGCTTCTCATGCTTCCTGTTCTTGCTGGTGCTACTGGCTAAGGGATGGACTGTTACACGGTTAGTTGATATGGCTGGAAGTAGTTTTACTTTGACCCCATGAAGGGGAATACCGTTAGCAGGTGCAGGTACAGATCTCCTCCCCCACTTCAGGTGCGGATCCCCTCCCCCTCCCCCTCCCCCTCCCCCCCCCCCCCCCCCTCCGCCTCTCTCTCTCACCTCAGGTCTAGCCCCCCCCTTCCACCCCAGCTGTAGACCCCCTCCCCCAGTTGCAGATACCCCTCCCCAGTTCAGGTGTAGATTTCCCCCTTCCACCCCAGCTGCAGATCCCTCTCCCCACCTCATGCACCACGTGGTCCAGGGCTCTGGAGCTGTGATAACCTTTTTTCTACTGAACCCTTCTTGAATTTGTGATAGTCATGACGACAATTCTCTCGGTGAGCTACAATGTACATGCATGTAACCCCAGGAAGGGTGGTGAGCAGTGAATGTTGGTCTTGCCTCCAAACAGTTAACAGGGGCATAGCAGCCGGTCCGGCCAGGCTGGACCACTTTTTCGCCCGAAAAATGCCAAAGTGCCCAGAACCCTAACATTGTGAGTACGTGTGTGTATGGCCATGTCTTTATGTATTATATGCATGTGTGTTTGTGTATGTGTATGTGCGTGTGTGTGTATGTGTGTGTGTGTGTGTGTGTGTGTGTGTGTGTTTGTGTATGTACGTGTGTGTGTATGTGTGTGTGTGTGTGTGCGTGCGTGCACGCGCGCATGTGTGTGTGTGTGTGTGTGTGTGCATGCGCGCGCGTGTGTGCGTGCATCTGTGCGCGTGTGCATGTGTGTGGACACGCGGTGGTGTACGTACCATCCGTTCTCTTCCACCTACATGTGTGTATACAGTGCACGACTTACGGACAAGAGTGCGTATCGCATCGCCATTACCTTCTTCGTCTACTGTATTGTGGCGTTGATTATGTACACGTGGTATGCCGCTGTAAGTATGACCAAACATTAACAAAGTAAGGTATTGTGCCCTCGTCCCTCGCCATAGCACGGAGAGCGGTGTCTCATGGCATTGAAGGTTTAGTAGATGACATCGTATTTCATTGAGCACCGCCGTTGATGTGAGTGGCATTGTTTTGCCAGCATGCGAGCGGACCAAATGCCAGGTCAGTGTGCTAGCGGCTTGGGCTACTCTCACGCGTAATAATCCTGTCTGTCGCATTTCCGGAGCGCGAATGGGAGCATGTGTGTGTGCGTGTGGGGGGGGGGGGGGATGGGGGTTGGGGTGGTACGCACTGTTATGTTCTTGCCCTGTGTGGAATTGGGTACTGTATTGTGTGCTTTGTGCTGTGTGCGTTTTCTTGTACAGTCTGATACGAAGAGTGAAGTCTTGTACGTGTATGCCTCCCCACCAGGCTATGGATTGGTCGGCGTCTTCTTCATTGTAAGTCAAATAGTATCTTGTTCGCCCTGTGTACATGTACTCGCATCTATATCTTTTAATTCAAAAACTCAAATGGTGAGCCAAGAAAAAAATGTAACATGGAAAAATGTGTGCACAAGTTCTGCAATCAAGTCCATCAACTAAACCAGCTGAGTTTTGTGCTAGGTTGTGCACGTCTGACTGTTTGAAATCTGGATTAGTTGCTGGACTCGATAGCATAACTTGTGCCCACATTTTTCAATATTACAATCTTTTAAGTCACTGATCAAAGTTCAGCATGTGACACTGTAGTGATACTGATACTGTAGTGGTGGAGGTAGCATTGCAGGGATGAATAGATGTTTGACAAAACAGATAAACATACCTGATAACAAAGGATCTAAAACTAAAAGGCAAAGTGCAATGCAGTTACTAAAGAGGAATGAGTTCAGGGAGAATTTGTTTGCGCGCGCGCGCGATGCGTGTGTGTGTGTGTATATGTGTGTGTGTCTGTGCGTGCGTGCGTGTGTGTGTGTGTGTGTGTGTGTGTGTGTGTGTGTGTGTGTGTGTGTGTGTGTGTGTGTGCATGCCTGCGTGTACATGCATGTGTGTTGTCCAGATCTACGCCTGGTTCTGCTACGCTGTAGCGTTCTCCGTAAAGAACAACGAGGATCGACGGCGTTTCTTCAAAGCCTTCTGGCTGCTCTACTCCCCATGGTGAGTTGTAGCTCCCCACACCATAACCCAAAAATACGTCACGGTGTCATCACGCACACCAACTAATGACATGGCGTCGTTTCATGCGGTTTACCACAGAGATTTAGTAATTCAGACAAATTTACATAAATCATACAAAATTAGGTACATTGCTCTTGTAAACCCTGGCAATTTGAGGAATTTGACAAACACCAAAATAAATTTTAGCACCGACAAGACATTTATTTTTATTTTTTTTTACAATGATCACAGCTCACAGGCAAAGACAAAAAATTGCATAGTGGGAGCATAGTGATGGTGAGGGTTTTTGCCCTCAGCCGACCTGAGGTCTCGACGTCATGGGGACATAAAACGCACCAAAAAAAAGAAGAAAAATGAAAGGAGTGACAGGTACATGATACGAAATGTTAGGAGGAGAGACAGTACATTAGAAGGAGGGGAATGATAAGACAGACAGTGCTAGGAGGAGAAGGAGAAAAAAGAAGAACATATTGGGAATAGTATGTGGAGCGGAATTTGGAAGTCATGGGGTGAGGCAGATATGATACTGATGATCAGAGATGGTCATGTGCCCACGACCAGTCGTTGGTCTTCAAATAGCGGTTGGCTGCAACTTTGAAGTGTTGCAAGTTCTTGGTGCAGAAAGGACCAGAGAAGACTCCGGCGGGCAGCTGGTTCCAGACGGGGACAACTGCGTGAGGGTAGGCTCGACACAGGTTGTTTCGGGAACGGACTGGAAGTTCATTGGCCAGTTGGTGTGCGTGAGCATTACATCTCTGGAATGTACTACGGGTGGAGTGGACTGTTCGGTGTTGGGGCTGCTGGGGTGGCAGCATCCTCTGTAGAAGGGGATGCGCATCCGGACAGTGCATCTTGTACAGGAGGCAAAGTGCTGCAACATCCAGCTACAACCATCACATCGAGTCAAGTGAAGAGCGAAAATGATAATGGAGAATTGGAGAAGAAGATCTACCTGAACTACTTTGCTTGAGAGACTAGTGTAACCTAGGAATGACTCTCTGCGTGTACTTTCTGTCCTTTTGAAGGCGGAGGCCGAACGTCGCTGATTTCCATCACGCAGGACAGCTTGTGCTGATCGGTGACCGTCTTCAAGCGCTGATCCGTTGCAGGAATGTTTTTGAAAAACTTTTTTCGTAGTTGTTGAATGTGCAGTGGATAGATTCTGCGCCGTGTTCCCCCAGCAAGCCAACTCCAACGCCAAGTACCTCCATGAGGGGAACAACGTGTTCCTCGAGCAGGTGAAGCTTGGGGTAATGTGGCCAATGCCACGAGAGACCACCTCGCGCCTGCACAACGCCAAGAAGTCCTTTACGAGGGCTCGCAAAGACGCAATCTCCTCGGCAGTGACTGTAGCGCTCTTACTAAAATATCACTGCAAGCAGCGTATTTGGTAAACAGCCGCTTTTATCTACTGCAGACTGCCTTGGCATCGGCTTCCAGGGCTGGACACCTCTGCCTCGTGATGGTTATGAGGGGGGGGGGGGGGGGGCTGTCAAGGCAGTGACCACGGTGGGCTTCAAAGTAGCATGGACATGGTTGCGATTGAATGCGCCACCATGGTACACCTGACGCTCGATGTGGTGCTTCTGCAGAACGGGATCCAAGGAGCTCTGCAATGGACCATGTAACTCCTTCGCCTTATCGGTGACTGTCTGAATCTCTGTCTCAAGTTTATGCTGCTGTTTCTCAAGTTACGCACGTTGGCTAGACACGTGCGTCAACCCGTCCTGCAACTGGCACAGTGCCATCTGCTGCCATTGGTCACTGTCTGCACTGTGCAGCTGTGTCCAGAATACGGTGAACTGCAGCTGATGTTCTAGTAGTGTCTGCTGATGTTCAAACCCGGCAATGTTGGCACGGATGGCATTCACTTCTTGATTTTTGGCCGACAATAGTCGGAATCCACTTCCATCAGCATCCACCGGAGTAGACTAAGCGGCAAGGTTTACGTCAAGCTGGTTAAGTTCTCGTTCTAAACGCTCGAAAAGCTATGCGAAAATACCGAGGTCCAGATGCAGACCTGGAACGACAGCGTCGGCAACTGGTATGGGAAGCAGGATTGGCCGAATGGCGTTGTTAAAGTTCTAAGCGTGACTCACTCTTGACACGTCGTCCGGGAAGCGTTGGTGGTCATCTGCCAGTGTTGTCAGTGATCTAGGTTCTTTGCCCTCTTCTGGCCGACGACTAGGGTCCTCGGCCATCGACTTTTTCAAACAATGGCTATGCAAGCATGGCCTGGCACCACTCGGGCCTGACAAGCCATAGCTGCTACATTGAAATTTGTAATCTCCAAAGAGGAAAATACGTGCAGGCGCTTATCCTGCCAGGCTATACCCATCAGCTCACTTATCTGGTCCACATATCTAACGCTGCTTGCAGATTCCCGGGAGTATCCTTTTCGTTGAAGATGCATATGGGAACAGTGTTCTCGACAGTGTTTGGATGCAAGATGTTAGCGACTTGTGCATGGCATAATTTGACACCACAGCAACAACACAATGTTGACATGACATCATACTGAGATCCATGTAACTCTAGCAGTTGCCACTTTGTAATCTGCAATTTATTTTCGCAATCATTATAATGCTGGTTGATACTGATGATAAATTCTTACCTGAAAGCTGAGCTTAAATGTGCCACGGCATGGTCACCGCCGACCTTTATCCATACTTCTGCCTCAGGTATACCATTGCTCCATATGAGCCTGTCCGCGCTCTTTAACTTGTCAAGGACGAATGTGACGAGACTGATGAGATGGGGCAGATATATAGTAGCAGCCATGACAATGTCTCCACTTCGCTTCATCATTGGAATGTGTTTCACACTGTACTGTGGGACTTGGGTGGCTGTGAACGATCTCATCTTCTTTTCGGACGCCAGCTCGACACCCATGGACTTCAGCCATACATGTCACAATCGGAATTTGTTGTATGACAGCTGAATATCAGCTTTCATTGTCAGAGCTATATCCGGAATGGTGGCTGAGTGGTGCAGGCCTATTTCTCGGAGCAAGCTCTGTTGCTCGGCTATTGACAAACCCTTTATGCCTGCTGCTTCCTGGGCTCGCAGGCCTGTCTCTCCACCAGTGAGCGTCCGACCGACCGTGCCCAGTTCCTGCGACCGCCGCCGTACCGTTGACGCTGATGCAGCATCAGATGACGTGCTGGCGACAGTTATTCGCTGGTATACCTGGGGTCTACCTCTAGAGCTGGTTTTGACTTCTAGTCGTCCTTCAATGGGTTTTGTTTGTGACGATCGCACCGGCAAGCCGATCAGCGATGTCACCCTCGCATCTTCGATGGTGAGGCACGCAGGACGTCACCGACTAGGGATGATGTACTGACTGCTCGAATAGGCATTGCTGGAGTTGCAGGATTCAATGAGCAGTCACTCACATGCTGTTGAAGACTGTGCAGCGGAACTGTGACAGGGCACCCTACCAGAGCTGGCTTATGGTAATCACAGTGGACTGTGAAGTCTTGGAGGAACCCACAAACTATGTTGTTTGGCTGCTCTAGCTCTGATGCTTGCATGGGTGCTGTGCATTTCGGACGGGTGGCTTTCTGCTGTAGCCATCTGCAAATGCATGCACAGCAGAACATTGTCTCACAGCAAGCTGCAAGCACTGCTCTCTCCACTACATTCTGACATAATGGACATTGTGCTCGCTTAACGACGTTCCGGTCAATAAACCGTTCCGGCTGCATAGGTTATCCAGCTTGATATGCGGGTGTGGCATGCTGCTGAACATCAGACTCCGCCCTATCCATGTCACTTACTGGTGTGATGGGGTGAGGGTTTGTTGCTGCTGCTCCCGTCTGTGATGTTGGCGTGCTCGTGCGTGCGGGTGATGGGGTTTTCTCCCACGCCGCACGTTTGTCGTGCATTTGAGTTGCGCGCTTCGGCTTCCTACCCGGTTTGGAAGGCGTGCACACTGAACACTTTGTCTCAATATGTGGCTCACATTTCTTGACCGGTCCACATCCGCCTCCAGCAAATTTGGACCCACAGCAGTAGCACTGCGATCAATAACCAATTTGCAAGTGTGGCGAAAATGATCAGGGTGTACATTTGGCTCATCTTTTGACACATTGAGGTGAAATACTGCCAAAATGGATCCAGTATGGTCTGCCACACGATACTTGGTCCGTACTCTCCTTGACGCGAATTTCTCCCCTCCTATGCGACAACACAAAGACAGGATGTTAACATGCACCTCCATTTCTGAACGAAATAACGTCTCTAAACTGGCCACGAAAAGTTAGAGTGATGCACGTCAAGCCTAGGAATACACTAAATCGAAATGCTGGGACATCGAGGTATACTAGAAAATGCCTGCGAGGTGGAGAAAATTCGCTGACGAGGCTGGCAAGCCCTTGAAATCGAGTGAGGATCAAAAAATAATTGTAGCCATGTTGAGGAAGAAACCATGCGTAGCGCGTGGGTGGCACAAGAAGATCGCTCGAGTGGCGGCACAGTCGAAGGCAAGGCCAGTCCAAGCTCTAAACTCTATCGAATGACCTGGAAACACCCGTGGTTTCGGTTGACCTTGCCCATTTTAGATGGAAGTCGAGCGAAATTGCAAACATACGTCTAGGCAAGGTCGCGTAAAAAATGAAAAAGATTAAAATTTGGCCGCCATATTGAATGAACGAGCGTCGCATGCATGGTACAGCCGTGACATGTACATTAACATGGTGACTTGTGTAAGACCATGATTGATAAACAGAGGGTACCGGGTTCAAGTCCTGCTTGGAAGCGGAAGGATTTTTTCCAGCCGTGCTGCGACCCACAGTTAATTGGGAACTCGTGCCAGAACATGGATGCAGTGAATGGGATTTTCGGTCTTTGACCATTTGCTGGTGAGCTGATCTACTCACCTCCCACCGCTTTAGGAGCTGCATCTGCGCCTTGATCATTGAATGGGTGGTGGCGTTCCTACGGATGCGGAAAACTCGGCTTCTAGCCAAGTCTCACGAGAACGGTGAATTTTTTTGAATTTTTTGTGTAAAGAGGGATCACCAGATTTTGGAAGACCGGTGCTTTGTCTCTCTGTACTACTAGGAGGTGCTTGCTTATCACAGATCTTCCAGGATTGTGTGTTGTATGTGCATGTCTTGGTTGTGTGTGTATAGGTTTCTGGTTACTCCTATCGTGATCCTGATCAGCGCTCAGGTTGTGGAGGACTACAAACGGTAAGCAGAGTAGAAGAGAAATTTAACGCCAGCACAATCACCCCACCCTGCCCCACCCTGTCCTGCCCTGCCCCACCCTTCCCCACACTGCCCCGCCATGCCCTACCCTTCCCCACCCTTCCCCACCTGCCCTGCCCCACCCTGCCCCACCCTGCAACACTCCGAGTTGCAACAAACTTTCCTCTCATCTCTTTCTTTTTCCAGTTATCGATTTTTTAAGCTATTTCTGGCTATGTGCTGATACGAATATGTGTACCTGTCCGTTTTTCTTCCTGTGTGTTTGTGTGTTCACGGACAACAGCCGGAAGATTGTCAACGGAATATCGTTGGCAATTGGCGCCTATGGGCACCTGGTGTTTGCGGTGAGTCAGCGTTTGCGATCGTCTTCACGTCATGCAGTGTATCAAAGCATTGTGTCAATGTCCATGTTTGAGCACAGGGTGTTCATCTTCCAATGTCTTGTAGCCAAATGACCCATCAAGTCGGAATGTCATGGATGATGTGCCTCGCACTGCGTACATAGACTAATGTTGGGGCCGACATTTCCTAGGGACACTGAAGCAAACAAACCTCAAGAGGCTGAATACCATTGCATGGGAATGTAAATTTTCATGGCAAGCATTTAACCCGGAAACTGCCATGGTCACATCATGTATATTCCTTGTCATGCATTGTCATGTTCTGTTTGGTGCGTAGACAGGGTAGAAGGGGGGGGGGGTAGGAGAGGGAAAGAAATGAGAGATGGTAGTCGCAACCAGCCGTGTAGTAGGTAGCAGGTCTGTTGCCATGGTCACGCCGGGCGTAATGATCCTTGCCATGAGGTGTCATGTTCTGTTTGGTGCGTAGACCAGGTGGGAGTGCGGCAGGGGGGGTGGGGGGGGGGGTGGGAGGGGTAGGAGAGGGGGGGGGGGAGGGGAGGAGAGGGAGAGGAATGAGAGCTGATAGTTCTAACCAGCTGTGGAGTGTGTTGCCCATAGTCAGCTCTGACCATAGGCGCACTGCCGGGAGTATAAGAGAGCTATTGTTGTGTGGTGCGACAACCCATGATATACCGGGTTTAATTTTTAAAAGTCTTGGTCACGTTTCAGTCTTGCAAGTCATCATGGAATAAGTTGTGGTGACCAACATTGTCTATACTCTCGTTACCTGTTCAACAAGCATGGACATACATGGTCTAACATGTGCATTTGTGTGTGTCCGTGTGTGTGCGACGGTGTGCATGAGTGTGTCCGTGTGCGTGTGTGCATGCGTATGTGTGTATGCGTCTGAACATGTGTGCCTCCTACACTGCGGCGTGGGCACGGCATTCTTCTGCTACCTCTGATAGGTTCTGACGTTTCCAGCGCATTTCAGCGACTTCTTTCCGTACCACATTCGGACCACCCAGGTAGTGGATTGTGATACAGTATGAGATGTTAGAGTGGCTTAGTGTATTGTGATACAGTATGAGATGTTAGAGTGGCTTAGTGGATTGTGATACAGTATGAGATGTTAGAGTGGCTTAGTGGATTGTGATACAGCATGAGATGTTAGAGTGGCTTAGTGTATTGTGATACAGTATGAGATGTTAGAGTGGCTTAGTGGATTGTGATACAGTATGAGATGTTAGAGTGGCTTAGTGGATTGTGATACAGCATGAGATGTTAGAGTGGCTTAGTGGATTGTGATACAGTATGAGATGTTAGAGTGGCTTAGTGGATTGTGATACAGTATGAGATGTTAGAGTGGCTTAGTGGATTGTGATACAGCATGAGATGTTAGAGTGGCTTAGTGGATTGTGATACAGTATGAGATGTTAGAGTGGCTTAGTGGATTGTGATACAGTATGAGATGTTAGAGTGGCTTAGTGGATTGTGATACAGTATGAGATGTTAGAGTGGCTTAGTGGATTGTGATACAGTATGAGATGTTAGAGTGGCTTAGTGGATTGTGATGTACATGATCACAAGTACATGATCAATACAATACAATCAACTTCGCGAATAATGACAATTCGCGAATAACGACAGAATTTCCATGCCCAGAGCAAAGTCCCATCTACCTGTATACATATAAGGAGACTTTGGGTATAAGGACACTTCGCGAATAAGGACACTTTGCTGATGCCCTGCCGAGTGTCGGTATACGCAAAGTTGACAGTACATGTACTTGACTATACATAACAGCGAGTCTCACTGAAATGCAGCATTCTCAGCGTTGAGACATCAGTGGAGTGTCTCTGGATGTTGGGCCCCTGGCTGTGTTAACCAGTGTGGCTTCTCCGTCTGTGGAGAACTGAGCTACTACAGTGGAACTTGTCTAAGACGACCTCTCATCGGACCTTCAAAACGTGGTCTCTGTTACCAGGTGGTCTCCTTATACAGGGTCATCTGACTGGAATAACATCCCTTGGTCCTGGTTTCAGTGGTCTTCTAGGACAGGTGGTCGCTTTATCCGAGTGGTCACCTTGACAGGTTTTACTGTATTAGTTGACAAACCTGACAAACCTGACAAACCTGACAAACCTGACAAACCTGACAAACCTGGCCAAAACACTTGGCATGTGATCTCATATCCACACTGCACCATGTATTTTAAAGCTACTCCCGTACACTAAGAACTCACTCTAGCATGTGTAGAATGAACTGAGAGATCAGAATGAAGGTTTCATCACATGGGACAGCACACGTTCCTGCTTTCGTCGCAGCACAAAAGTCGAGTTTTTGTACCGAAGCCTTTCTGTGCACAAGAAAAGAAGAAAGCTGCACTGACTCGACTTCCTTCGCTATGCTTCCTTTGCATGGGCTGATGGTAATGGGTGGAAACGTTGCTGCTACTTGACATTCTACTTGTGGTGAAAACAACAGTTCACACCTCCTCTAAGACTAAAGCAAAAGAGAACAGAAGCAGGAACAGTAAGTAAGTACATTTTTCTGTTTGGCGCGCATGAGCAGTGCTGAGGCCGAGACCCCTGGTCGGTTTAGCTGCTCTTGCCCCGCCTCCACTGCTTCGGCTGCCATCGCTATGTGCATCTCTGTGCGTTTTGCCGGCGTTTGCACCATGATGGTTTGTGGTTATCTTGTAAAAAAAAGAAAAAACACATAAGGGTAAACAAGCGTTTCGGAGGCGACAACTTTAATAAATATGGCAATCAAGAGTGCTAACTGTGCGGTAACCATGCTTTATTACAAGAGTAACAAACATAGTAGCAGTAACAAACATGCGAGAGCAATGTGGATGCATGTGAAATGTACATGTAAAAAGAAGAAGAAGTGTTCAGAACGGTTTTCTCGTTACGATCTTCAGTGAACGTACGTAACTATGGATGGAACACATGAGAGTGTACATGGAAATAGGGGGAATCGTGGGAATGTGGAAAGGCAACGGCACACTGCATGCTGGCCAGGGAACAATCGGTAGGCGAGTCCGTAATCAGTGAACTTTATTGAAAAATCCATGATTGTCCGGAAAAAATGAATTCACCCCTCCTTCTCTGCATTACTGACTGTTGAAAAAATGAATTCACCCCTCCTTCTCTGCATTACTGACTGTTGAAAAAATGAATTCACCCCTCCTTCTCTGCATTACTGACTGTTGTGTTCGTACAGATTGCTGCGGCTACAGAAGAAGACGGGGCAGCCATTGTGTATGGTGCTGGACGAAAAGATGACGATCGGACAGCCGGCGATTATGAACCCAGTAACAATATGATGCCGATGCTCAATCGCAGATCCCTGCAGCTCAAGCTGTTCGTCAGGACGGATGATGTTGCCGGTTGTGACATGAAAATGGGAATGGAAGTATGTGTGATGACGATAGACCTGCCTTGGTGGTGCTTTGAGTTCAACAGCTGCACATTCGCACTGCAACATTGCTGGAACATGTCAAAGTGTGATCGAATTTGCGCAGATATATCTAAACACTTGGAATATTTGACGGATTTGGAAACAGCATGGCTGCTCAGCATATGCTCTGATCATGTGGTAGATGTGTGACTGCTCTGTATTCTTACCATCGCCTTCAATTATTGTCTGGTGTTGCTTTGGTTGTTGCTGCTACTGGTGCTTCTCCTGCTGCTGCTGCTGCTGCTGCTGCTGCTGCTGTTGTTGCTGCTGCTGCTGTTGTTGCTGCTGCTGCTGCTACCGCTGCTGGCGTTTAAATATTTTTTCTCACTTGCTGTTGCTGCAGCTTCTGCTAGTGCTGGTGCTAGTGCTGATGATGTTGGTGTTGTTTCAAATTGTGATTGTGACCTGTTGCTGCTGGTGTTCTTCTCCTTGCTTTCTTCACGACAGGTGGGCGATTCCCGTGATGATGAGCAACTCCTTTCCGATCCCAGCGCAAAAACAAAGAGCGTGAGACCGGCGCCGGGTGATGGTGACCTGGGAGGTCTGGGTGCGTCGCAGCATCAGAAGCAGTCCGCGTCCACTCGCAATCTTCTCCAATACACACGCAACGGCGTGACGGAGACTGGCCTGGCCGAGCCGGCTGTCATCGTCAATCTGGCCATCCCTGAAGCGGGAAGTGTAGTGGAGCGAACCTCCAGAGTACTGATTGACGACGACGAAGACTTCGGCGTCACCGAGAACCCCATCATGGAGAGAGACGGTGACATCGCAGAGTCCGGCATTGTACCGGGTTCGAGGTCAGACAGCAGTACTCCCTCGTTCTCCGGGTACTCAGCAACCGTAACCGACGGATCGCGTGCGAGTCGTTCGTCAGGTTACCAGGGAGACAGTACGGAGCAGCTGCGAGGTCGTGGCCATGTCAAGAACAGAACTAGCCGCAGCACTGACAAGCCTGACGGTGAATATGGTGTTGTTGCGATGAATACGTCTTACTCCACGACGGAAACATCCTTCACCGAGGACCCGTCTAGAAGAAAGAAGAAGAGTACGGGCTTGTCCCACGAACCGTTACCGCCTATCGATGCGGAATCTGGCCTCGCGTCCTACCAGAGTCTCATGCAGCATAACTCGCGCGTTGCAGCACTGTCTTTAGCCATGGAGCCACCGACTAACATACACGTGGGCCAGGTGCCGGCGGTGCCGGCGGGGCACAAGGGACGGAAGCGGCGGAAGCACGGTGAGTCGGACACCGAGAGCGTGTTGCCCGGGCGTGCAGCACCGCGGACTGTGGGCGAGCCGGAGATTATCACACCGCCAACTCGTGCCGAGCTGCTTACCCGACCGGCGTTTGCCGTCAGCCGCGGGCAAACGGGAGCGGGTGCAAGTACCGGACGGGACTCGACCGCGACCGGGACGGAAAGCGGCCCATTCTCCGGCGGCTTCCCCAAGCCACCGCCGTCAAACACGCCGCTGACCGGCGGGGACGTGCTGCCTCCACCCCGCGGCAGCCGCATGGCCTGGTCCCAGTCCAGCTTCAGCGGCCCCAGCGTTGACGAGCCCGAGCCCGACGGTGCGGTGGACGCGGGCAGCAGAAACCGTGGCGGCGCCAGCAGAAAGACCAGCTACGCCGCCAAGGCTCTACACAGTGTAGCAGCACCAAGCACAACAACCACAACGAGTACTGCCACCACCACCCAAGCTAATGCTGTTCCTGTGAAGCGAAAGAAGAAGTTTACAAAGAAGAGACCGCAAGCAGCAGTTCCAGCAGCAGCAGCAACTGGGCCAGCAGGTGAATCGCCAGCCGGTAAGGCGGCGGCGAAACCCTACTCGACGCAGCCCGTATCGACTGACCAATCAGCTGCCGACGGTGTTGTGAAGCAACGGGACAGCATCTTCTCACCGCGTTGACCAGGTTCCTGTCGTCAATGCAGCAACATGCAGCAACAAGCAGCACACGAGCGTTCATGCTCTGCGTGTAGCCCCGGCGAGAGGATGTTGATGTCACAATCCGGTATCAAAGCATGGTGTGTGTTTCCCTGCAGTGTCAAAGTGCTACTCGTGATCCGTTCTGTGCTCAGTATAATTATTTTCCGCTAACTCGTGTCCGTTTTATATCCAAACTTCCACCCACCCTTAGCTTGTAACACGCCGTGTACTTGCAGCTTCCTGGGAATCAACAGTACCGGTGTACTGCCAGCCGTAATGCATTGGACCTTCTGCTCACGCATGCCTCTATGATGCGACATGTCTCAATAGCACCTGAACGTGCACAGTACACGTATGCACATGACCAGGGTACGGTGTGCACACGTGTGTGCTAATACACCAGCGCCCACTCACCATACATGGATACTCCCTATTCACCAACAAAAACAATTGGCGATGCATCGATCAGAGATGCACACTGCATATACCGCTCGTCAACGGGATTACTCTAAGGGTTTTTCCCTAGCTAAGACTACGTTGCGTAGTAACATCATTCCGTGCACCATCATGATCCTATGTCTAACATCACATTCATCTGAATGACAAGCTGCAGATATGTATATAACGTTGCATTCATCCGAATTACAGGCTGCAGATAATAATGCCTTGCTCGATATTTCGAAGTACAAACTAATAATATTAGGTCATTATTCTTGCACTCCGAACCATTTATCATCTCTGAGAATCAACTAAACAGATGATTGTACATGTTTTCTTTCTCTTAAAAGTTACGATTGTGAAGGAATTACTAGTTTGCTCAAGTCCTTAGAATAGAATACCGTTACAACCTCTGGCGATAAGAATTGAGAATTTTGTCGACCCCGGAGGAAGTCATCTTGTAAATAATTTGTGAAATAGAAAATTCTCGAATTCCCAACAACTGATCGTCTCGACCCTGTTAGGTCTCATCCTTAAAAAAATTGTTTATCAAGTCCATACTGGTACATGACTAAACCATAGTGTAATTTTGGATTTAAAAAAGAAAGGACAAAATGATAATAACATTGGCTCAACATCCAAGTTCGAAGTGCAATTTCATAATCTAAAAAAATTAACATTTGCTCAACATTCCAGTTTAGAGAGTTTATAAACTAATGGACATGTTCTGCGAGCGTTCGTCCTCTTCTGTAATGCCACCCAGCTGCCGGACACGGCTTGGTTTCTCGGCCAACAGGTCATAGTCCAGGTCCAGATCATGGTCATCAAGGAGCGTCAGCTGTGTGCGCTCCGTCACCAAGACTTCGTCGTCGTCGTCGTAATCGCCGTTGTCAATCCACCGCGGCAGACTTGCCTCGCCACTAACCTGCTGGTGGTGATGGTCAGGATCTGTGTGCAGTATGCCGGCCAGTGCTTCTATCTGTATGCACAACATCACACAATAAGGGGACGGAAAAGTCACAGCACTCTCTTGGACAGCCTGGAACCTCTCTGTTTTTTGTATGCACAAGATCCATAGGAAGATAGCACAACATCCATAGGAAGATAGCAATGCCATTAATGTACAGTGCTGCTCAATGAAATCCAATCGCGTGAGTCAAGTTTTGCGCCCTGCACCAGTTTAGATCCCAGTGTTTGCATGTCTAGGGCTGTACAGCACTGGCATGTGTAGTGCTGCATAGTGCATACTTGACTCACACGGTCAGACTTTATTGAGCAGCACTGGGTGAGGTAAGAGAGAGAGAGAGAGAGAGAGAGAGAGAGAGAGAGAGAGAGAGAGAGAGAGAGAGAGAGAGAGAGAGAGAGAGAGAGAGAGAGAGAGAGAGAGAGAGAGAGGGAGGGAGGGAGGGAGGGAGGGAGGGAGGGAGGGAGGGAGGGAGGGAGGGAGGGAGGGAGGGAGAGAGAGAGAGAGAGAGAGAGAGAGAGAGAGAGAGGAGAGAGGGAGAGGGAGAGGGAGAGGGAGAGGGAGAGGGAGAGGGAGAGGGAGAGAAAGGGAGAGGGAGAGGAGAGGAGAGGAGAGAGAAATGGACAGAGAGATAGAGAAAGCTTGCTGGTCTACATGTATTTCAAAGTAGCATCACAAACAGGCAACTATGCCTTCTTGCATGTGTGGGATTAAAGGAACATAAAACGGCGATGGACATCGTCGCAGGCCCAGAAATATTGACTTACACGCTGGTCTCGCCTTGACCGATCATGAAGACTTCTTCGAACACGAAACAGTAAGGCCGGTCTCTGGAGGACAAAATGACACGTACACGAATAGTATGAAGACAGAATATCGCAAGCTATGCTGCTAAACCCTTGCCAAACGGGCTCAATGCCACGAGAGCAGAGCCAAGAACACACACAATATCATGCATTTTACAGGTGTGGCTGAGAGATCATCTGCGATATGGATCGTTCAATTAGCCAGTTGAACTGCGGGAGGTTGCAGAACATTCTGGATGACATACAATACTTGATGTTCAGGTAACTCTGAGTCATCAAACAGGAAGTGAGCATGACAAAAGTCAGAGTGGACACAAACCAATCACTCTGTTCAGCAAGCTCCAATCTGATGGTGTTGAGCACTTTTCGTGCAAGTGGGATATTTGCCCTGTTCATGCTCTGCAAGTACTTGAGTAGTAAGTTTACTATCTACTAGTACTGCAATGTTGCCTATCAAGGCTGGGCATATTCCTGTAGAAGAAAGCCGTGGTCAGGGCGATGCTTCTATTCAAATAAGGCTGGTATGAAAATTAGGTATTTCTATGTGTGTCAAGACTAAATCAATCAATCAAGGCCTGAGTGCCGATGGTGCATCTCATAAATCAGGCGTGCACTTAAAATAGGCTTCTAGTAGTACCTTGATGTAGCAGAAGAGAACAAGGGAAATCCCCAGAACGAGCACGACGCCAACCACTGCCCCTGCAATAATGCCAGCTGGAGAACACAAAACAAAAACAATCTCAAGAGTCAGTCAGAACACAGTCACAACCCAGGGCAAGATGGCACAAATCACGTCGTGCACCAGCTCATTTCTCATCCGAGTCCAAATTCGATTGCAGTTCTAAGTTTTAACAGTTATAGTAACGCAGCAGTAGCAGTCACAACACAGAGCAAGGTGTCACAAATTGGCATCACCAGCTCATATCTGATCCAAGTCAAAGTGTTACTGCAGATAGACATCACTACTCAGGTCCGTGGTCACATGATTCGTAACTGAGATTATCTGGATGAGCATTTTTGCCATCTTCTACACTTAGCCTCGGTACGGTTCAAATCCACCAGTTTACAACTCTCAATAGTGTTGGGCCTCTTTCTCTCACGAACGACAAACTTCTAATTGTGCGAATGATGCTTTCGTTTGAGAGAGGAGAGTATTGTTCCAAACGTTTTTTCCAGGATGAGCAGGGGGAGAGGATAGTACACAAACAAGACTTTAGTGCTTCCATTCTTTTAAAAATGTAATCGTATGAATGCCACAGACATCACCACTCAACATGACAACTTGTCAGATATGTGACTGTGTTTGCTTCCAGAATTGATTTGCGAGCTCCGATCTTCAGTGGAAATACACACTGAAAGCTCTAACAAATAGTCATGCTGCGTGGCGATGTCTGCCGTATTCATACTTTGCATAGCTCAAATTAAATCATTGTCTCCAGGTTTGCATCATTTGTAACAGTATGCATGTTTGCAATAGCTGTACCTGAAGATCCATGGTTCTCCAGTACTTGTGGAGTAGTGCCACTGCCGCTCATAGTCATTGGTGATGAAGACACAGAGCTAACTGATGAGGTGGCCGAGGATCCATTGGCAGTCGGAGAACTTCCGTGAGTAGCTGAAATGTACCCTTTCTTGCTAGTGCTGCTACTCGTGCCGCTGCTCATGCTACTGGTGCCTGTAGCTGTGGTGCTGCTTTCGGTGGCAGGGCTGGTTGCAGATGGATGCTGGATAGAAGCATGTTGAGATGATGCGGTAGGTGCATTGGTCGTCGGTACACTACTTTCCACAGAAGTGTGCACCGACGCAGAGTTCACTCTGGCCGTCGTGCTGGTCGGGACTGATGCAAGATGCGATGTTGTGTGTACAGTGGATACGGGCTGGGTATGTTCAGTGGATACGGGCATTACCCGGCTCGTGGGAGAGGGGCTGACAGGCACACGCGTAGTAGTCAGCTGTGAGCGTGTGTTTGTAGCTGGCACCCCGGTAGTTGGTTTAGATGGTGGACTTGTGGTCAGTGTTGATGTGGGTATCGGTGCAGTTGGTTTAGATGGTGGACTTGTAGTCATTTTTGGTGTAGGTATCGTTGTGGTTGTTGCTGGAACCCCGGCGGTTGGTTCAGATGGTGGACTTGTGATTGGCATTGATGCAGGTATCGTCGTAGTTGTTGCCGGCGGTGTTAGAGTGGCAGTACTGCTTGGTGCATCCGTTGCTGAAGTGGTTGTTGGGTTGGTAACTGTTTGTGTTGTCATTGTTGCAGCTGGAGTCAGCGTAGTGTGGTGATGACCATGTCCAGTGCTTGATGTTGATGTCACAGAGGAGAGCTGTGTTTGTGAAGGACTTGCTGAAGAGTGGAAGCTGACACTAGGTACTGCCGTCGTCGGCGTAGCAGGTGGTGCTGAACTGCTCTCGTAAGCAGTGGCCGTCGGGGAAGAATTTGGCGCCGATGTGGAGGATGATCCAGTCGTTCCCTCTATACCAGATGTTGTGTGGCTTGCAGTCGACGATGCTGTGGTGTTCTCATGCGCAGATGAACTTGAAGTTTCTGCCGGGTGAGATGCCGTGGCCGTCGTCCCGCCGATGGTGATCACATTCACCGATGACGTTGGCATAGAGGATGATGGGCTGGCAGCCGTTGTTGGCTGTGTGTATGTAGGAGATGAACAAAGGGAACAGTTTGGCTTGGGACCTGGACAGAAACAGCATCAAAGCGCAAAGGACAGAGAGATAGCAAACTGACAATACCGACACTAGGGCTTGAAAAGTGATGACGTGACAAGTCAATAAACAGAAGTACTGAATTCAGTGGTCAAGCCCATCATGGGACATACTGGTGTGACATTCTGTGCTACTAGTCACGGGTGCCCAGCCAGGAGAGTCCAGCGCAATATCATTATCAGCAGATATGTCACCCTATTGACAGTTTGAATTCAGATACCTGACACTATTGTACACTAGCCTAGTTAGTCTTTCATTTCAATTCCATTTGAATATAGTTAGCAATAGCACTGTCCCAATGCCACGTCTACACTTCATACACACACACACACACACACACACGGACACACACACACACACACACACACACACACACGCACACACCAAACTCCACACCAGCTCCAATACCTAGGCCTGCTCGTAGAGGACTCGATAGCGAATGCTGCTGTCTGATGATCGCTGAAACGCATGAAACTTTTAAAGTTACGGCTACAACAGCTTTTCACCTCTGTTGTGTGTGTGTGTATACTGCTCTGTACATCCGTGCATTGAGCACTCTACCCCGAGCTGCCTAGACCGGCCTTGTTTGCAGTGAGCTGTCTTCTATTGTTCTGTGTCATGATGTTGAGCCAAGCGCCCTTCTCCACATGCCAGCATCCTAAACCAACCTCGATCACTTGCCGTCTTCCGCCACACTACACAAATGTGATTGATTAAGGCTGTCTTTCCTAAGCAAAACATGTTTTTTTTTACATTGTAAAACATCTGCATAGCAATGATCACTGTGTCACTCCTACGTACCTGAGTATTCATCGAGGGTATCCAGCACAGTAAACATAGCCCAGGCAAGCGGTTCCACAGTGCTACGCGTGGAGCTGTGAAACCAGACCGAGCGTGTTGTGTTCGGGTACAGCAAAGCTACGGGCTGCGGTGGTGAAGTTGCCTTGTGTGTGAAACTCACTATGCTGGTCGATGAGTCAGTGCCTGAGAGAGAGAGAGAGAGAGAGAGAGAGAGAGAGAGAGAGAGAGAGAGAGAGAGAGAGAGAGAGAGAGAGAGAGAGAGAGAGAGAGAGAGAGAGAGAGAGAGAGAGATTGAGAGAGAGAGAGAGAGAGAGAGGGGGGGGGGAGAAGAGAGAGATAGAAGTAATAACGTAGTAACTTAATAACAAAGGACAGGCAAGCTCACGGTTTGTTCCCATGGTTACTGAGAGTGGCAGAGTGTACACATATATATTATATAAATGCAAACTGACTGGTTCTCATGCGAGCCATGGCATGCACTGCACTATCTAAGTCGATGCCTGAACAACTGGACCGGTTCCGCCCTGTACCCCCCCCCCCCCCCCCGCCCCCCACACACACACACAGACCAGAGTTGGTACTGACCTGCATCATATGGATACAGTGGAATAGACACATTCTGCCACTGATCACCTGCACATAGATTGACTGCACTGGCTCCGACAAACCAGTCTGGCGAATAGTAGATGTTTCGCATCAGCGACACGAACGGACGAAACCTGGCCGGCGGACAACAGAAAGACACAAGAGGATGGAATTTCCAGACAACATGATCAAAGGGTAAAACCGTGAGTAAATCAAATAGAACAGGGAAAGACTCAGGCCCGGCAACACCAACACCAACACCAACACCAACACCAGCACCAACACCAACACCAACACCAACATCAACACCAACACCAACACCAACACCGACACCAACACCAACACCAACACCAACATGTGTTAACAGGAGTGACCACAGCACACAGTACACAGCATGTCGCAGTGGAGACATGTGATTCTAAATATGTAATTCGATTAGAGCGGTATTGATCACGTGATCGTCATGATTGATTGCAAACAAACCCAAACTGCAAACAGGCGCAGATATGGGGCTGCACTGCTACTCATTATAGGAGCGTTAGTTCTACATGGTCACCACATAGCAGAATCACCATGCACGAATAATGACCTGCGCAGAATTCCGGTGATCATAATGACTTGTGCAGAATCACTCTGTGGGCATGATGACTTGTGCAGAAGACAGCCGCCTAGATGTACAGCATACCTGTCAACCGTGATATTGCACACTTCAGTAGCGTTGACCACCGCTTGATAAGCACTCCCCGTCAGTACGTCACGCACATGCAGACCTGCAGCTAGCAGTTCCCTCACTAGCTTAGTGGAGTTGCCTAGCTCAGCCACAGCGTCTGCACCGATGCCAATATCCTGACCAACCTGCCACATGCGGTAGCACTGGTCGTGAGATGCTGCCACCAAGAAACCAAAATTTCCGCTGTGCGGCGCACGTGGCACGGTCCAGTTGGCAACGATGTCGAGACGATAGCGAACAACAGAGCTTGCCTGGCACTGGCAACCTGAGAGCAGTAATCAGAGAAGCATATGGGGAAACACGCAGGCTTTGAACTACAGCAAAACCTGTCAAGGCAACCACTTGGACGAGGAGACCACCTGTCCCAAAAGACCACTGCGACCAGGACCAAAGGATGCTATTTCCAGTCTAATGACCCTGGATAAGGAGACCACCTGTACACGGAACCACGTTTTGAAGGTCCCTAGTAGCCAGGTTTTGCTGTAACTCAATGCGACACTAACTCAATAACACTGTCCCATTGCCATATCTACACTTCACACATACACACTAACTTTCACACTAGCACCAAATACCTAGGCCCGCTCATAGAGAATTCAGTAGTGGAATGCCAAACGCCGCTGTCTGATGATCGCTGAAATGCGTGAAACATGAAGTAACAGCTACACAGCGTTTCGCCTCTGTTGTATGTACAGGCATTGAACTTGAGAGAAAGTATACAGGCACTGGAAAGGCAAGACTGACGCGCATCCTACAAAGCTACACTCAGTACAATAATTTCTTTTGTAGATGGCCTACGTCTTGCAGTGGTTCTCTAGAGACTTCAAGCTGGAGCTTTCAGCAGAAGTTGACAATGGCGATACGGATGTTCCGGATTCGTGTCACCTAGCAAATCAACACATTCGTTGCAATGTTTCTACGTCAAGCTCTGACAAGTGCATGTGTGTGTTGTGTGTGTTGTCTGCCGTCAGGAGCAGTTGTACAAAACCCATATGATACCATGCGACCGGGTGTCTAGCTCGTTCATACCATCTAATACTGGCGGGGAGGTCGGCGGCGCTGCTGTGGTACTACTGCTAGCTGTAGTAGCTTGGGTTGATGATGCACCGCTTACTGATGCTACTGTACTGCGCGGTGGTGGTCTGGTGATTTGCGACTGCAGCTGATCACACTCGGGGCAGTTCACCGTAGGGTCTACGACAACACGGCATACAAATAGCAGGAAAGGATACACAGAATCAAATTGACAACTCTCCCAAGCACAGCCTAAGATGTACTTCAAGTAGTTGGCTAAGAGTTCCGCACTGCTTTCTGTAAAATCCTGCCTCGTATTGAACTTAGAAGCCTATTTAGAATAGACACCTGATGTTCAAAATGGACTGTTGGTACAGCCATGTCTGGTGTTAGTGTTGATGTGCAGTAGAACCGGTGTTTAACAGACCCTGTACCAAGCGGAATCCTGTATTGACCGAGTTTTCATGCACCAAAGTGCTGTGGATCGAACGTGCGTCCTTGGATCAAGCGGAATCCTGTCATATCAGGCGAGTTTCCGCTGCACTAAGGGCGTGCGGTTAGGGCAGGTTTTACTGTAGCAGGAAACGGAGCACAGAAACAATTTGACAACTCTCCCAGTGCATCCCGGCTAGGATGTAGCTGGCAGGATGAATGACAGGCACCGCTAGTTCCTTCAAATTCACTACTGTATAGCAGAAAAGTTTCGGACAAAGCCGAATTTCGACTTTTCGTACGGATTTTATTTTCGTACAATGCTGCAAATGCACGTGTTCGCAAGCAGTACGCATGTATACCATGGTATAGTGTACATAATTTCACTTGAACAAATGTTAGTACAGAATTTATTTTAGTACAAAAGAGGCCATGTACGAAATTGTACGAAAATAAATTCCGTCCGACGTTTTCCTGCTATACAGTATATTTCTGCAAGAACAGCACCAGACATACCCGAGAAGGGATCAGTGACCGCAAGAGGCGTCAGGATGACATGGGCTATCGGCTCGACGTGCTGACGTCCAGTGTGGAACAACGTACTGCGTGTGGTGTTTGGAGAGAGCAGAGCGATCAGCTCGCTGGGCTGATCCGTAGAGTTGAGAGTTGGCAGTGGTGAGTAGGTGTAATTGACATTGTCGTCAATTCCTGGAGCAGCATAGAAAATGAAAAGCCGAAGTTCTTTACAGCAGAAATGCACTCGCAGACTACAAGCAACACATCATGACTGGCATATTGTCCATGGCTGTATGCGTGCACATGGTCTACATACTGCCCTGCAAGATATGGTTCGTTATAATCGAAAATTGTACGCTACAAAGGGTCACTTTTCTATGGGTTCAAACAGGGACACGAACAATGGTTCGCTATATCAAGAAATTCTTATTCAAAATGTGATGGCTGTGTAAAGGTTTTACCGATGAGCTTATTGGATCACCTACCCGCATCCCAGGCATACAGCGGCAGTGTGAGGTTCTTCCAGCGATCACCGTCACATAATCTGATACTGTCTACACCAGTGAACCAGTCAGTCGATCTGATTGGTAGGATGAAGGAGAAGAACGGTCTCAGCCTATACACAACATACACAGTAGGAGTAGAAGACCACAAGGAACCAGTAGAGAAATATTGGAGTACAGCAAACGGAAAGACAGAAGAATAGAGAGACGGAGGAATAGAGAGATGGGGAAGAGAGAGACGGGGAATAGAGACACAGAGGAATAGAGACACAGAGGAATAGAGACACAGAAGAATAGAGAGACGGAGGAATAGAGAGACGGGGAAAAGAGACACAGAGGAATAGAAAGATAGAGAGATAGAGGACCAAAGGGACAGGAGAATACAGAGACAGAGGAACAGAGGAACAAAGGGACAGAAATATAGAGACACACACAGAGGCAAATAGGGAGACACAAGGACGCACGGAGACAGAGCGCAGCGGAAGAAGAGGAGAGAGAGACAACAACAGATGAGCAAATGAGACCGAGCAAAATAAAATAAACAGAATAACTACCCTCAGAGAACACAGCTGAATACTCCACAAACTAAAACCTCCAAGCTTCCACTGTGGGTTGTTTGGTAAAGTGTGGTAAAAATTCAAGGATGAGAGCTGATGAGGGGATATCTACTTCTAAGGAGATAAACTAGATGTCAGCATATTCATCCAAAAGATGAGAAAACTATGTGGTACTGAAGAGCGGCCAATTATAGCGGGTACAAGTGTTAGCGTCTTCTGAACCTGGACCCGGACGCGATGAAATATTTTAGCGATCCGAGTTTAAAAGAAGGATGATCAGTACTGTACCATTGGCGCGGCAAAACGTTAGCGAAAACACTCCTTTCGCTAAAATCGTTAAAATATCACCGTTGCTAAAATTAGGCGTTTCACAGTGCTTCTCAAGTTCTCACTTTATCTCACACAGAGAGAGTGAGAGTGTGGTGTAGTCAACAGGGCTGCACGACCATGTCACACATTGGGACACCAGGCAGTTGTGCGTGAACACACGCCGGATTTCTCGGCGCACCCTATTTCCGCGCGTTAAAAGTTGCGCCTCCACGTCGACGTCTCTGCTGTGCTGTCTTAGTGTGCTGTCTCTGCTGTGCTGTCTCTGCTGTGCTGTCTTAGTGTGCTGTCTTAGTGTGCTGTCTTAGTGTGCTGTCTTAGTGTGCTGTCTTAGTGTGCTCCCCTACAGTAGAAACTTACACAGGACTATGAATTGCATGAGTATCACTCATCAATTTTACGTGTATACCGTAAAAGTCCGTAAATAAGTACCTGCCAGAAAAGAATACCCCCTTCATTCTTTTGGCTCTGTCTGTTGAGGTCAAGACAAGCCCAATAGACATACTGCCCAAAAAAGTACCGGTACGGTGCGCACATGCAGCACGTAGAGTGTACATCGACATGAAAATGACTTCTCCACTACACACAAGTCAGGTCCGAAAGTTAGTTCGTGCCCGAAAGTCAGTACCCGCCCGAAATTTAGTACGAGTGTGGTCACTGAATAAAGTAAATACGTACTTGAAGTACTTATTTACGGACTTTTACGGTAGTTAGACCCGGATGGAGCTCCAAGGGTATACATTTAAAAAAAATTCACGGTTCGCGTGAGACTCGGCTGGAAGCCCAGTTTTCCGCATCCATCGTGGGAATGCCACCACCCTCTAGGATCAAGGCGCAGATGCAGCGCCTAAACGGTGGGAGGTGAGTAGATCAGACCCACCACCAAGTGGTCAAAGACCAAAATCTCATTAGCTGCATCCATGTTACCCTCGTGCCAGGCCACAAGTTCCCAAATAACTGTGGGTCGCAGCACGGCTGGAAAAATTCCTTCCGCTTCCAAGCAGGACTTGAACCTGGTACCCTCTGTTTCTCAATCATGGTCTTAGACCATCCCACTATGCCTGCCTGCTTCCACGGGTATAGGAAGAACAAAAGACCAATGAAGTACAGGTCATGCTATAATGTCCGCTAACACCGCCAGTTACTTGACGTGCTAGAGCTGGTTGCCAGTTACGGTTGTAGAACGGCAGTGCCGCCGCCGGGCAGTGCCGCCGCCGGGCAGTGCCGCCGCCGGGCAGTGCCACCAACGGGCAGTGCCGCCGCCGGGCAGTGCCGCCGCCGGGCAGTGCCGCCGCCGGGCAGTGCCGCCGCCGGGCAGTGCCGCCGCCGGGCAGTGCCGCCGCCGGGCAGTGCCGCCGCCGGGCAGTGCCGTGAAATGTTATCGCATGAGCTGATTGTCGAGTAACCGGTGGTGTTAGTGGACATTATAGCGTAACGTGTAGTTCCTTGGTCCTTTGTTCTTCCTATTTTCGGGGTGATTTTATTTTAATTAAAACACAGAATACGGACAAAGGTTTACAATGTAATGTTATTCTTAGCTGTCCAGCACTAATATAAGTAGGGGTGAAAGGGGTGATCCGGGTAACCCGGGTACCCGTTTGTTTAGCTGCTGATCCGTTAGCAAACGAGTACCCGTTATTCGTGTAGGATGGTAGGGTACAGCATTATAAGCTTGCTTGTACAGTTGTGCAGTTCGGTTCACAGTTTTGAGTGTGTTTTTCCTCGTTCAATCCTGCTACATATCACAGTATCCATTGTAGCTACGACAATTTTCACTGTTTGCATGTAGCGCAGTGAGTGTGCACGCTGTGCTTGTCGCGGTGTAGTGTACTTGCATGACTTCGCATATCCTCCTGGCGTGAAATCCGGAAGGCTATTGTAGTAACTGTTGCCCGAAAATCTCTCCCCTATCGGAATGCCTGCAAAAGACATGCTGCGCTTACGATCCCAAGCAAATGCAACGTTTTTGGAAAAAGTATGTCGGATAAAGGGTACCCGATAACCCGCCCGTTAAGCCAGATACCCGTTCGTTACCTTAAAGGGTAACTGTTTCACCACTAAATATAAGCAAGATAGTGGTGAGTCTGAATGTGCAGTAGTTAGCACATCACTCATAAGAGAGGAACTCGGGCAGTCAACGACGTGGGGTTTACCTCGATCACGTCTTAAGTGCGCAAACCAACAGCCTTCCAACTTGACAGGTTCTAGGCGTGACTAGTACCCAGCGAAATACAGTAAAGTCAGCTGACCATTCTGTAAAACTTTTTTTTCGGTGGTGTAATATTTTCAGTATTTCCAACAAAAAATCAACGGTTCGGCCGTGAGTGCGAAAATTTCGGCAAACCTGTTTTCCAGATCCAAAAATGCATTTTGCACACTGTGTGGCATGGAATTGTTGAATTTTAGGTCGCGTTTTATTTTAGGTAAAAATCACCTGCACCGAAATTACCGAAAATAAATCTCCGCCGAAGTTTTCTGGTTTTACAGTAAACGAAGTAGCCAACCTATTGCTGTGTACATAAAGATCCGATAGAATGACTGGGACTGGTGCCCGAACTTGCTTAGCACGCTACACGCACTGCAACACTGTAAAAGAAATGGACCAGCAGTGCTGACGGCTGCAAGGCCAGCGCTGCGTGGCCGCTTTTATTCTCAACGGATTTCAATGTCTGCACCAGTACGAGTATGTGCACTTCAATCGTGTTTTCTTGGTGAGTTCTACTCCCAGAAGGAAATGCTGGTTAATACTTTCTACTGTTTGATGATCTGCCGATTTCAGCGAAAACAGTCATCGTAGACATCGGTCATAGTATGCAAGTCAAAACCGTTTCGTCTTCGCTTACCTGTCGGCTAACAGCTCAATCCCGTGCGTTGCGTCATGAGCTTCAAGATAATCCAGGTCTTGTCGAGCATCGAGGACGTTCGGCTGCACGTAGAGCGTCTCGGATCTGATCGCGGTTGTCGTTCCGTCGATCAGTAGCTGGCGCACGCCAAACGACGCATTGCCATCGCCGTCGTGCTGCCATAGCCGGAAACACGCCGTGTGTGTCGTGTACCAGGAGAAGCCGAACAGCTGGGAGGTGCTCGTCGGTGGTGCCGGGACCGTCCAGTTTGTCTGCACGGTCACGGAGTACTTGACGGTGCCGTTCGCCGTGCAGCCACAGCCTGCCACGCATGGTGCATCCAGAACCACACATACATGTATCAATACTAGTAAGCCGATGTATTGCCCATTGCCAAATATGGAAGGTATGAGTAATGCATGTGAGTACACTGGGATCAGCAATGCACTGTTCAACACCCCCAGACGACCATGCCCAGGTGGCTGTGTGGGGTGTTCGCGGTACAAATTATGTTATTGCGCAATAGGCTTATAGATAGCCTACACCGTGTGCCAGGAAATTATATGTCGCGCTGTACGTTCGGGCCCGGCTTAAATCTGGCTTTGGAAAATTTATTTTTCATTGCTATCAGGTTCGGCCTCATTTCCTCTGTGCTGCTCTGACGAGTCCACAAAGGACGAAACAGTTCTGTCCGCAGATTGAGTATTGCACTGTCACAAAATCCATAGCTGTCCAGAGGGTCTGTCAAATTGACTGTTCCACACCATCAAGCATGCTATCCAAGGATAATGGCACAGTGCAACACTACGGGGAGGCAACTGTAAATGACTATTATCTACTCTCTTGTTTCCTAAGAATTGACTCACTCCAATGCAGCAGCTACTTGCACAGTAGCAGAAATCAGTCACTTCACTCATGTCAGACGGTCTCCATGGTGCAAACAATCTTTTCCTTCGACCTTCTCTTACGAAGGTTGAACAACACTGTCTACCACAGCTTCTCCTAGCTTCTCTTCGTGTAACAAGTACGTGTGGCACACATGCTACTACAAGAGAGATATCTGATCAGAAGACGTTGCAACAGAACTTTGCCACTGTGGAATTACTTGGCTAGCACCAGTATTAGTACCGGACCTTGCACTCTTCCCAGCTACCAGCATTCGTGTGGCGTTGTCATTGAGATGGTACTAATGTGCAAGTTGTCGTACGAACCAAGAGCCAATAGTGCAGTCCCGTGTACGCATGAGCTTGGCAAAAATTACAGTAGCTTTCCGGTTAAAAGTAGACTTTTTATGACCTAATGACCAAATTGGAAACGGGTGCAGTCAACTTCGCGTATAACGACACTCGGCGGGGCATCAGAAAAGTGTCCTTATTCGCGAAGTGTCCTTATACCCGAAGTCTCATTACTGTACAGGCAGAACATTTCGCCCGTCAATAATTTCGTCCAACTCCAAGGAAAGGGAGTTCGTCCGGTTGTAAATTTCGTCCATGGATCATAAGAGCGTATTGAAAAGCTGGACAAATGGACATCAGTCCGGCATTTAATTTAGTCCAAAGGGTCCTTGGACGAAAAAGACGAAATTAAATTCCAGACGAATATTTCTGCTAATACAGGTGGAATCCTGATAATTCGAATATGGCTTAATTCGAACATACCGCTTAATTAGAAGTTTTTCCAGGACCGATTTCTAGCAATACGATTCCCACATACCGTATTTCCACAAATAGTAGGCCGGTCTACTATTTTTTCAACCTCGTCCTAACCCGGCCTTATAATCGAGGACGGTCTTGTATTCGAGGACGGTCTTTTATTCTTTCAACCCAGTTTGACCCCCCGGTCTTCTATTTCTCGCAACACAGTTTTACCCCCGTTCTTCCATTTTCTTCTACACAGTTTGAGCACGGTCTTCTATTTTTCCCACAGTGTGAGCACTTTCTTCTATTTTTAACACAAGAACAAAGACTCATTTAGTAGGCCCGGTCTTCTAATCGGAGACGGTCTTTTATTTTTTCAATTGCCCCCTGCCCCGGCCTTGTATACGAGGAAGGCGTTGTATACGAGGACGGTCTTTTATTTGCGGAAATACGGTAAACAGTTTCTGATAATTCGAACCTCGAACTGGATATGTCCGGTTAATTAGAAGTTCCACGGATTCCACTTACATAGAAAATGTGTGGTATTTGTGCTGATAATTCGAAGTTAGCAAAGTGTAATTCGAAGTTCACTGTACACTGTACTGGTCAGGTCAGTTTGCATGAGCAGGCTGTGCTGGTCAGTTCAGTATCCGCGAAATCTGTGTCTAAGGTCCATAGCGCAACTCTGCGTGACCATGGGAGCATTTTGACATACATATTGTGTTGTGGATGCATGTTTGGATAATTAGAATGTCCGGATAATTAGAAGTCTTTTCCTTGCATTTTGAGGTTCGAATTATCAGGATTCCGCCTGTACAATATATGTATTACAGTTGGATGTGATTTTGCTCTGGGCATGGAAATTCTGTCGTTATTCGCGAATTGTCGTTATATCCGCAGTCGTTATTAGCGAAGTTGACTGTAGTCGGCTTACAACCGGGGCTTGCCCACTATTGATCATAATGGTTATTGATATTGAACTGGCAAATACAGAACCCAAACATCAGGGGTCCGCTTATAACAAGGAAAATACGGTGCGTCAACTGCAAGAAATCAACTCAACAAACCAGGACTCACCCTTGATTGGTCCAGGGGTTGCCGTTGGCGATGTTTTCGTCTCAGCTAGCCCTGAAGTAAACCACACGAACCAACATAAACGTCAGTAGTACAGGAACTCCTTGCATACAAGGCTTTGTTTCATTAGCACCTTCCACTGAGGACCGAGGAGTGTGACGTCCGGTAACAATGGATGAACGCGTCGATTCCTAATAGCAAGAGCGGTAAGTTACCTGTTAGCTGAGGACCCTCGACTGCCGCCCGCTACACTGCTGTAGCCTGCCGCCCGCTACACTGCTGTTGCCTGTCGCCCGCTACACTGCTGTTGCCTGCCGCCCGCTACACTGCTGTTGCCTACGCCTACCGCCCGCTACACTGCTGTAGCCTGCCGCCCGCTACACTGCTGTTGCCTGTCGCCCGCTACACTGCTGTTGCCTGCCGCCCGCTACACTGCTGTTGCCTACGCCTACCGCCCGCTACACTGCTGTTGCCTACGCCTGCCGCCCGCTACACTGCTGTTGCCTGCCGCCCGCTACACTGCTGTTGCCTACGCCTGCCGCCCGCTACACTGCTGTTGCCTACGCCTGCCGCCCGCTACACTGCTGTTGCCTGCCGCCCGCTACATTGCTGTTGCCTACGCCTGCCGCCCGCTACACTGCTGTTGCCTACGCCTGCCGCCCGCTACACTGCTGTTGCCTACGCCTGCCGCCCGCTACACTGCTGTTGCCTACGCCTGCCGCCCGCTACACTGCTGCTGCCTATGCCTGCCGCCCGCTACACTGCTGTTGCCTACGCCTGCTGCCCCCTACACTGCTGTTGCCTACGCCTGCCGCCCGCTACACTGCTGTTGCCTACGCCTGCTGCCCGCTACACTGCTGTTGCCTACGCCTACCGCCCGCTACACTGCTGTTGCCTGCCGCCCGCTACACTGCTGTTGCCTACGCCTGCCGCCCGCTACACTGCTGTTGCCTACGCCTGCCGCCCGCTACACTGCTGTTGCCTGCCGCCCGCTACATTGCTGTTGCCTATGCCTGCCGCCCGCTACACTGCTGTTGCCTACGCCTGCCGCCCGCTACACTGCTGTTGCCTACGCCTGCCGCCCGCTACACTGCTGTTGCCTACGCCTGCCGCCCGCTACACTGCTGCTGCCTATGCCTGCCGCCCGCTACACTGCTGTTGCCTACGCCTGCTGCCCCCTACACTGCTGTTGCCTACGCCTGCCGCCCGCTACACTGCTGTTGCCTACGCCTGCTGCCCGCTACACTGCTGTTGCCTACGCCTACCGCCCGCTACACTGCTGTTGCCTGCCGCCCGCTACACTGCTGTTGCCTACGCCTGCTGCCCGCTACACTGCTGTTGCCTACGCCTGCCGCCCGCTACACTGCTGTTGCCTGCCGCCCGCTACACTGCTGTTGCCTACGCTTGGCAACCAAAGCGTCATCAGTCACGCGATAGGTCATGCATGACGATAGCCAGTCGGTCACGTAATGACGGCCACCCCGCATTGTGGCATACAACACACACACACACACACACAAGCACGTACACACACGCACGCAGGCACACACGCACGCACACACACACACACACACACCAAAAGCGTGGATGACCCTGGCTAGCGCCAGCCGCTACTACGCAACACCTTTTGAATAGCTTCGGGAACGATCATCTGTGTTCACAGACGAAACACAGTGCTGCTCAGCTGTGGTATCAAGTTTCAAGCACAAATGCACCTTTTCCCTTGAAACTTGACAATACATGTACGATGAAACAGCACCTGATCTGTTGCGTGCGCACGTGTGTGTGTGTGTGTGTGTGTGTGTGTGTGTGTGTGTGTGTGTGTGTGTTTGTGTGTGTGCGTAGGGGGGGGGGGGGGGGGTGCCGGGTGTGTGTGTGTGTGTGTGTGTGTGTGTGTGTGTGTGTGTGTGTGTGTGTGTGTGTGTGTGTGTGTGTGTGTGTGTGTGTGTGTGTGCGTAGGGGGGGGGGTGTTTGTTTGGGTGTGTTTAGGGACTGGGGATAGTTATGTTCTGCATATGATGGTCTTCAGCCAGGAATGCAGGGACATTGATTTTGCTCATTTGTTGTTGTTGTTGTTGACATTTATTTTAATTTTTACTTCATCAGTTGCACAGGCCTTCTCACCGTCGGTCCCCATTTGAGCGCCCGCCAAATACAAAAATATCTAGCGCACTTACTACGCAAACTACTGTTGTTCTTCTTACCACGAGTACATGAAAACGCTGTACTCTTGTTCTTACCCATAACGTACGACCACATCGTCAACACCATGAACTGCACCAGAAGCAAAGGAACGACGGGCACTGACATCCGCCGTCTCGTCTGGCCTGCAGCTGCAGGTAGTCGCCACCAGTTCAACCACATGTCGGCTGCTCACCACGCGCGCATTGAGTGATGATCCCGCAGACCCGCCCGGGCCCGAGCACTTCACACCGGCCGATTCGCGCGACACAATGATTGATTTGGCCTAGCTGCGATTCACTGATCGACCGGAAAGCGAGCCATTTCACCATTCTCCTATTGGCGCTACCTTCGCTATATCTATGATAGACAGTAATAATTATTAGTTGCTACTGCGATTGGGGACGCTGATAAATCAATGAACTCGAAGGACTTACACTTTACAGGTAGAATATTAATATCCTTCAAGCTGTGCACGTGCACAATCCGATACGAACAGGAATCGAAAATAAACGAACTACAGCTGTACAATCATGTACATAATTATTGTATACTTGTTGATACAAAATAATGAGGTATTGTAATAGTACTAGTACAATCATGTAAAAACTAGTCAATTTTTGGAAATCGTTATATGCGCCTCGTTAGAATAATGCCTTTTACAGTACATGTAGCAGTATTTCGAGCCACAAAAAAAGGCACAAGTCCGGGAAGTGCGGAAGTCTTCCCTGGCTGTAGGCCCTCGCTGTGTAAATGTGTGGGCACGCTCATGTAACTAAAACTAATATTAGGCCACACTGAAGAAGGTCTGTGGTTCGACTCACCCGACCGACCGTACATTTTTCAGCCCGACCAGGGTGGTAACTTTTTTTCGGCGGGCTGTCGTGTGACCATGGTGACTGACGTACGTGGACTGAACACATCCACGTCTACGTGCTGTGCAGCGTGAGTCTGCGGACGCAGGCGGCTCCTTTTGGACTTGACTTGTAGTTGTACTGCAGTGCAGTGCAGTGAGTGGTACGACTGCTGCCTTGTGCTGGTAGTAGAGTCTACTCGATACGACCACCGGCAGACTGGCGAGACTTATTTTGAAGTGACCGTCCGGTTGAGAGTGATTGCCTCGTTCCAGATTAAAGGGGCACTCCGGCTTCATTTTCGACGCCGAGTTTTCGATGCCAAGACGAAGGTAGGTGAAAGAGAAGACCCCTCGAACAAGAACGAGTCTCCAGAAGCGATCGAGTCGAGCAGGAAGACGACTTTTGAATTTCGGCCGAGCGAGCGCTGATGACGTAATGAGGGATTAGCTTGGCATGCCAGTGGAAATGCATCTGCGCACATACATTTCACCCACTTTTTTGCCAATTTTCAATCGAAGAAGAGGTTGTTTGCTATGTTCTCCCAACGCCGTGAGCGATCCCGTCTTCTATACCCTTCCAGGTACCCTGAAGGTCCTCCAGAGGAGAATTTATCTCCATCAAAGCGTTGTTGATCCGCTAAATTCGTCTCGAGACATATTCACCCAGTGCAGTGCTGATAAATGTAGAATGTTGAATCTGTGATAATTGTCGACGATGGAGAGAGAGGCTGATAGCCGCTGTCGCAGGGAGAGTGAAGCTGCTGGAAGTAACAACAGGGAGCCCGTTTGTATCACCTGAACAACCAGACTTCAAAGCAGCTTGACCAAATCGGAGGGTGCCTCGTTGCTTATCGTGAATATTACACCGACATGAACTTACTACAAGTATACTGGTGAGTTTTTATCTTGTTTTGTTCGTATGCTAGTACCCTGGCCTGGAGTTCTCGTTAGCAAATTCCTATTCCCTGGCGTTTTCTAAACATTCCGTGTAGGACTGAATACGTGATCAAGTATTCCAATTTGGGTAGATGTGGAATTTGGACATGTATTATATTTAAAAAAAAAATTTCCAAATAGAGCGTTTGTAGAGAAATGGTTGCCCAAATACAACAAAATTTATTCTGCAGTTCTACAACTAACTAATACTTGTACTGAAATCCAGTCGAAGTAAAAATGATTCTTCATGACAGTTGGGGTCAATGAAATCTGATCCAGGCATAACGAATGGTGACGCCTGCCACCCCGGGAACGAATGCCCATTTGGTGGGGGATACCAAAGTACTCGAAAGTAGTGCGTGTTTCAATGTGGCATGGAAGTTTTATATGATCTCTGGTCAATGCAACATACGATAGCCATCATGAATTGCAGGCCTCGAACGCAACTCCGACCAGAATTGGCAGTTCCCTAAGTTAGATGCTTTATAATTCCATGGCCCCAGCTGTAGTTATAGAGGGTTTTTTGCACATTATTCGTATAGTCGATAGGTTTATACTGATGGCCACAAACAACGGCAGTTCAAACTTCACTGATGTGTTCATGAGCTGAGAGATTTCTCTCCACTATTTCTGTTGTGCACACAGGTTTGTCCAATATGTATTGACCGTATTGGGTATGGTACCTGCTCTGAGAAGGGAATCGCTGGAGCCACAGTCCAACTATACAGGCTTTCAAGAAACAGAGAGGAGCCATCTTTGCAAGCTGATACCTGATGTGTACCGACAGAATTCTCACAAGATAGCTTACAGACTACGCCTGGTGTATACTTCATAGTACTCCTTCGACTACTGTCTAGAATCAAGTCGACTGAAGCAAGTTCAAACATCTCTGGCTTCAAACGAGCCGTCGATTAGACAAAAAAAACATTCTCTCATATACTAGAGCACTCTGACAACTCACGACCTATTCCTAACGATTGCCACCGCTTATAAATATGTAGAGTACTGATTGGAATGTGCTCACAATCTCAACAATCCAGTGCTATAATTATTTGAACTATGTGTTCCTTCCATAAATGTTGTATCCACATATAATCCACAGTGCTGCAAAGTTTCAGAGTTCTCAGGGTATCAAACAAAATTATTTCAAATACAGTGAAATAGTTCGTGGACATTATAGCGTAACTTGTAGTTCCCTGGTCCTTTTCTTTGCTATAAATTAATCCTTTGCTCTCTAGCCACCGGCGAGTCCAACAGTGAAATTGTTAGTTCATATTTATGTGGGGGGGGGGGGGGGGGGGTGAACATATTTCTTATTATAAGGGATCTGCAACTGTAATACCACAGTACAGTAGATAGCAAATATGTAGAAACAGAAATGCATGTTCCCATCATTGTACATGGACGGGCGCAGCAGGCCGAAGCTATCAGCCAGAACAGGATTTACAATCGCCTAGAGATACTTGAGCTATTCCAGTATTCTCCGTGAGCTGTCCCATTCCACAATGGTTCATGCCACCATTATTTCTGGTAGTATCCATGTGCATAATTCCAAGAACATCTCGGATTCTTCAGCAATTTGTGCCACGGCAAAAGACAACGCTTGACTCGGTCACTGGGGCTGTCCAACTTCGCATCACAAATGAACTTCAATTTCTCATCTGGTTCAAGTATATGTACTGCCATGACTTGACCATGCTTCATCCACAGCTGGGCGAAGATTGTGGCGTTGAATTCCATAGCGCACCTTCTTGCTGCCATGCAGGAATATGTTGAGAGAAGTGAACATATTTTTACTAAAAAAACAACAGCCACTGAAGAGGATAGCAATAGCAATAGCCTTGGGTGAATTTCCTGCAGGTACACGTTGTTGGTAGGTCTACTGGTCGGTCTCCATATCGTCAAGTTCAGAAATCACCTGTACTACACATCTTGTAGAAGGGATCCTGATCGAAAAATTTTCTGATCATAAAATTCACTAAACTGAGGGCGAGACAAATAGTCAGTACTCCCCGATTCCGTCTAGCTGCTTTGATCAAGTGATGCTAACAAGCTCCCCGTTGTTACTTCCAGGAGCTTCACTTTCCCTGCGACAGCGGCTATCAACCTTTCTGTCCATCGTCGACAATTATCACAGATTCAACATTCTACATTTGTCAGCACTGCACTGGGTGAATATGTCTCGAGACGAATTTAGCGGATCCACAACGCTTTGCTGGAGATAAATTCTCCTCTGGAGGACCTTCAGGGTACCTGGAAGGGTATAGAAGACGGGATCGCTCACGACGTTGAGAGAACATAGAAAACAACCTCCTCTTCGATTGAAAATTGGCCAAAAAGTATGTGAAATGTATGTGCGCAGATGCACTTCCACTGGCAAGCTAATCCCTCATTACGTCATCAGCGCTCGCTCGGCCGAAATTCAAAAGTCGTCTTCTTGCTCGACTCGATCGCTTCTGGAGACTCGTTCTTGTTCGAGGGGTCTTCTCTTTCACCAACCTTCGTCTTGGCATCGAAAACTCGGCGTCGAAAATGAAGCCGGAGTGCCCCTTTAAGGACGGCCTTCTGTTTTGGGATGAAGGACAGACGAGATTGCACTTTCCTCGTGTATTGGGAACGATATTTCACCTGTACCGGTAAGTTGCTGCTCCATGTGTGCAAGCACAGGAAGCGTCGATGGAAAAAGCCCATGTATTCGTGCACGCCGACACCAAACTAGCAATACATGTACCGGTACATTGTACAATTTGTACTTCGAAGTAGTTCCCGAACTTACTTTCAACTCGCATCGTTCTTCATTTGCTTGATGATTTGGACAGTCAGAGTCACCGCTTGAAGTTATTCTCTTCTCGTTCCAGAGCTACACAATGTTTCAAAGTATTAGCCAGTGATCCCTTTATACAACATGTATGGCATAACACTGCGTAATAATGCCGATGTACTGACTACTGGGTGTCTAAAGGCAGTGTATTTACATGTACTAAAAATATATATTTAAAAAAAAAAATCCGCCCGCCCGCCCGTAAAAAAAATGTCCATGTTAGTCGAACCACACACCTTCTTTAGTTTGGCCTTATAGTAATAATATATAAAAGACAGGTCTACACTAAAGACAGGTCTACACTATTATGTACTGACTCACTGAGTGGCCCTCATCAGACTACGTACATAGAAAGTAACAGTTGACTACAGTACAAAACCCAATAAAACCTAAAACAGAAAAGGCCTACTAGTACATGACTGTACTAGTAGTAGTACTACCTAGTACCGTCCTGGCAATATGGTCGCAGTGAGGCCATGAAGCGTTACATTGGCACATGTTTACCGCACGCAGGGCGTTACATGCAAAGTCGCACAGGAGCCGTCACACAGGTTTCTATATTGCCGCAGTCCTTTTTTTGCTATTTATTATAATTGCAGGACTTCCTGCTGCGTCCAGTTTTGAACTTTTCACCACGCGGTACACGTGCTTTCACAGTTTTCAGCCTTTTTTGCAATGAAAAGATCGCCGCACCACGCCGGACGCGCGTTACGAACGCAACGAAAATTTGTCGCACTAGCCTGGTCGCGCGTTACGCCGCACCCCCTGCGTTCCGCGTTACGCGGCAACATAATATTGCCAGTACGTATACGGTAATCTACATGACATAGTACAGTA